AAGGATATCATTTCTAGTTTGTTATTTCTATTTATAAAAAGCTATTTCCAGTTCGGGCTCGGGTAAGCGAACTAGTCCCGAAGTACGTTTCAGATACCTTAGGTGGAATCAGCTCCCACAATCCTATATATATTGTCCAAAGATTTTAATCCCAAACAATATGGGACTTTGAAACTCTAATAGCCCCTCTCGAGATGTGGGTGGGAAACGGTTCAACACGGAAACTGTCCGAACCCAACATGACATGCGCCACTTATATGGAGCCACATAAGTGGGAAATCCATTTTTGTGGGAATTTGCTTGTTGGGTCTTACCATAGGCTCTGATACCATATTAGTAAAGTGGGCTAACTAATCCCAAAAGCTAGCTCAAGAGAGAAGGATTGCCACATCCTATATATATTGTGCTGGTACAATTAGTTTTGATATCACCCCCTTAAGACGAACCACCATAGTCTTTGTAATTGTTTTAAATAACACATTACACAAACTGATAGGTCTGAACTGCATGATCCTCTCTGGTTTTATAGCCTTAGGAATAAGCACCACTAAAGCATCATTTATAGTTAAAAGTTTAAAATTAAAACTTTGTGAGCTTAGAAATAAGCACTACCAAAGTATCATTCATAGTTAAAAGTTTAAAGCATCATTCATAGTTAACCTTAGGTCTGAACTTCTTTGTGCCTTTGTGGTTTAAAATTAAAAGTTTAAAACTCACCGTTCGAGAACCTCTCTTTCTGGTAGAGTGTTTCTCACATAACATAACATAAAGCCGGTATAACGGGTGAAAGGCAAATTTCAACCTAAACAATTTCAAAAGTGTATTTTTATACTTCAACTTTGCCAACGTGTGAATTTCAACCTAAACTAAATATTTTTTCAAATAAACAACATGAACTATCAAATTTATGCAAAAATCAACATTGACCGAGATTATGTTAGTCAACTATGATGAGTTAGATGCCATGTAAGTAGATTTTGCTGAGTCAAATGCCATATGTACAAATTTTGCTGATTCACCTGCCACGTGTCATAATTAGAAAAAAAATTAACTTAACTTAAAACAACTAATTCAAAATTCCTTGTAAATTATTACCTAAAAGGACTCCCATTTGGACAAAAATAATCGTTTTTTTCATAAACTACAAATCAACCTAAATAGATATTGAATAGTCTTTTATTGTTTAGACAAGCAAATAGCAAATACAAGAACTTGAAGCACAATGAAACAATCTATAAATTCTTGATGAGTTTTTGAAGTTGATTCGTTTGCCTTGCGGTTAGTGCTGAATATCTTATATGTTCTTAGTTTTGTGTTTCCAAATATTAAAAAGGTAAAACGAAAAATCTCATTTGCATTATTTCAGTTATACACCAGATATTAAAATCAATTGAAATTTCTCTTTTTGTACAATGTTAAAATAACATATTCATTTACAATTTACTTTTTTTTTTAAAAAAATAAATAAAAAATAATAATTGACGCATGGCAGGTGATTCAGCAAAATATGTACATGTGGCACATAACTCAACAAAATCTGTATATATGGCATATGATTCATCGTAGTTGACCAATATAATCTCGGTCAATGTTGATTTTGGCACAATTTTGATAGTTCATGTAGTTTTATTTGAAACAAAGTATAGTTCAGCTTAAAATTTATACTTTATAAAAATTGAGCTATATAAATACACTTTTGAAATTGTTCAAGTTGAAATTTGTCCTTTACCATAAAGAAGGCAAAGAACAATTAAAGCCGGTATTTTATATAGCCCGACGGTTTCGGTTTAGTTGCGAATACCGTAAATTCCGGTTCAATTTGATTTCCTATAAACTCAACATCACATTCCCTCCACATTCACAAACCTTTTCATGGATCAGCCACGGCAAAGCACAACGGCGTCTCAGCCACCGGAAACACCGCCCCAGCCATTGGATTCAGCTTCGAAACCGTCCGCATTGACACAGATTCAACAACCTCCTCCAACCAATCCGAGCGCCTCCTCCATTTCCTCAATTCCTTCTTCCCCTACTCCACCATCACCGTCGCTCAATACAAACCCTAATCATCCTCAATACACGCGTCCAGTGACATCTCCAGCGACGCAACAGCAACAGCACATCTCCCAGCCTTTGGGGCGACCTCCTCCGCCGGCGTACTCGAGACCATGGCAACAACACTCCTCTTACACTCACTTCTCCTCCGCTTCGTCGCCATTGTTATCTTCCACATCAGCTCCGGCCTCTTCTTCTTCGTCTTTACCTATTACTGGGCAACAAAGAGGTGGCATGGCGATTGGCGTTCCAGCTTCCCCAATTCCGAATCCTTCTCCTTCACCTTCTCAGCATTCGCCTTCTGCTTTTCCCGGCTCTTTTGGGCAGCAATACGGTGGATTAGGTCGTGGAACTGTCGGAATGTCAGAAGCTACGTCCAATACAAGTGTTCCCCAGGTGATTTTTTTCTCTATTTTTCAGAGAATTGTGTTTCTTATTAGCTTAAGTAGAAGATACAAGAAATATACCAATTTTTGTGTGTGTGTTCAGGCTAGGATGATGCAAGGAACTCAGGGAATTGGGATGATGGGGACACTTGGCTCAAGTTCACAAATGAGGCCGACTGGGATGGCTCAGCACCAACAGAGACCAACTCAATCGTCTCTAAGGCCAGCTTCCTCCCCAAGTACCCAGTCTCCTGTTACTCAAGTATGTAGTTTTACGCTCCTTTCCACTGTACCTTGAAAAATAGCAAGTCCAGCTTTGTGATTCTCTGTTAACAACAAAATTTTGCTTTATATTCACCTCATTAGCTTAAAACTTTTGAAGTAGTAACAATCTATTTGCACCATTTTCAAGTGTTCTGATGGCTGGATAGAGCTTTAGGTGAATGTTACTTGGTCATAGAGATACATCAGAGCTTAATTTATGCCTAACCTTGCATATCCTTGTTTTGTAAGTTGTGGACCTTTATCAATATCAATCTTTCGTTGCTTTTTTTTTTTTTCATAACTCTTTCTTCATTATTATTTTGAGTTCGTTTGTCAAAACTCTTCATGAACTTTGTTAACAAACTATTAATTCTTTATATTTTGCTTTTGATAGAACTTTCAAGGACATAGCCTTATGAGACCCTCACCTATTGGTTCTCCTAGTGTACACTCTACTGGTGCATCACAACAAAGCTTGCAAGGCATTAATCAACCGTGGTTATCATCTACTCCCCAAGGGAAGCCGCCTTTGCCACCCCCTACGTATAGACCACCAGTAAATTCTCCCTCCATGCAACAAAGACCTCATATTCCTCCGCAACATCTTTCCACGCCAGCAGCAACTTCACAGCCTCAGCAGCAACAATCTCAACAACAACATCAGCCTCAAGAGCAACTTCAGCAGTTGAGATCTCCGCAGCAGTCTTTACCTCACCCACATCAGCCAAACCGGGTCCAAGGGTCTGTAAATCAGAAAGTTACTTCTCCAGTCATGCCAAGCCAGCCTCCTGTGGCTCAACCAGGAAACCAAACTAAAACAGTTTCTGCAGAGATTGAGGCATCTGATGATCGTATCCTGGGGAAACGAAGTATCCATGAGCTACTTCAGCAGGTATCCACTAACCTATCTTTATATTCTCAACTTTGGGTAATCCATTTTGCTGCCATATCGAGCATGGAATAAATTAGTATTCACACTCTGACGCTTAATTTTTACTTAATGTATGATTAATTTCTTCACTTGGATGGATCTCTTGCGGGGAAAGGAGAATATATTTGATAAAAATAAAATAGAAGAAGTCTTGAGTAATTTGCCAATTCCCTTGTATTGAAAGCCAAAAACCATGACATGGTGACGTTAAACAGATTCAGTAATAACATATATCTATAGTTTAAGAGCTACTTTTATGGTGTTTGCACTCAAGCGCTCTGCATGATATGATATATGTCTCTGAATTTAAAAATGCATTGCCTATCCACAGATTGATCCGTCAGAGAAATTGGATCCTGAGGTTGAAGACATCCTTGCTGATATTGCTGAAGATTTTGTAGAATCAGTAAGTAGCTCACACCACATTGTTTCCAACATTTCTGTCCTCTGATGAGATTTTTCTAAGTCCTGCTCGTTGTGTTTCCTTTTATCCAGATCACAACGTTTGGCTGTTCTTTAGCCAAGCATAGAAAGTCAGATACTCTAGAGGCTAAGGACATCTTGCTCCATGTTGGTTCGTTCTGATTGATATTGTCTGCCCGTTACTTTTCATGTATCTTTCCTTTTATTATGATTAATTTCTTTTTGGCACTTCTTAACCTTAAATGTAGAAAGAAACTGGAATATCAGGCCTCCTGGTTTTAGCAGTGATGAGTTCAAGACATTTCGAAAGCCAGTAAGGAGCAGAATTTGTTTTGTTCTTTTTTGTCAATTCGTCCAATTTTCAAGATAGTTCCTAACTTACTTGGTTGTTTCCCTGGATAATGTTTGCAGCTGACAACAGATATTCACAAAGAGCGACTTGCCACTGTAAGTTTTAATTGTAAGCACACTTGATTTCAAACACCTGAGCAATCAGTACTAGATTATAGTACTGAGTCTGAGTAGAAGAGAAACTCATGTATTGAAGATTTTTCTTGTTGTTGTTGTATATCCGTTTTGGGTTTTGAAGATAAAGAAGTCGGTCATGGCAACAGAAGCAGCAAACGCAAGGAATTCGTTCGGGCATGGGACTGCTAACGCAAGAGGCGGTCAGGCAAAGACACCTGCTAATCCCTTGGCTTCAACTTTCAATCACTGATGTATTAGATTAGATCAACCCTCCAATCATGCTTGGTAGGAATTTTTCATTTAAAAAAGGTACAAACTTTGTAACATCCATTTTGTACCTTATCTAGATCTCGCAGTCCACGATACAAGCATGGAGGCCAGTCTGGATCTTAATGTTAACCATATGTAAAGTATTTTACCACCTTATGGGATTGCATTGGTACAATTTTTCGCGAAGCACAAAAGTGTATGAATTGAGAGATGAAAGATGAGACGCATTTATATGGTTACAAAACCAGACTAGCCAGTATTATCAATTAAACAGATTCTTCTCATACAGTTGAATCTCCAAAGCTTTGATCAATTTTATAGTTTGACTGATGTATGGACATTTGGTGGAGTGTACACAGTCTTGGGTACAATATTTGCTTCATTAGCCCTTTTAACCTTCAACGATCTTCACTGGCGTCCTGCAGAATAAAACCAAAAAGAAAGCTTTCAGGGAACGTTCTTTCAATCAAATTTACTGGGTTTTAGTTGTTGATCTTCACATACCCGAAAGGACTCTGCTTGATTGATAACAGCTCAATGTCAAGCTGCAAAAGAAAAGTAATATAAATGAACACCACTCTAGGAGCCAATAAAAGTCGAATCGGTTCAACTGGGTTACCTCTATCGTTGCATTTGGAGGAATCTCTTGCACTCCTTTCTTCCCGTAAGCCAGCTCAGGAGGAACAATCACCAATCTCTGTATATAAAGTTCAAGAGGGTCATCGAAACAAGAGACTGAGTGACCTGCCTTAGTGAAAGTTTCGGTTTCAAGAACTAACCTGACCGCCTACACGCATTCCTTCAACACCAAGATCAAGTCCTTTCAGAACATTGCCTCTCTCTGATTGCCCAACGTCAAACCCGTAAGGCTGCACAACTCTCTTTGTTATCAGTAAAGGATCCTTGCATATTCAAGTACAGTAATGGATTCTGTGAGATTGCCTTATACTAACCGTTCCACCTCCAACACCAAGTCCTTGTCTACTAGTCATGAACGTTATCCCTTTCCATTTTGCAACATAGTGAACCTGCAACACAACATTTGGGTTAAGCATCAAAGGTTGTTAAAGCTGTAGCATTTACATGTCCAATTTAACCAGGAAACGTATTCACAACCGTACTGCGACCCGAGATCCCTTCACAGCCTCTGCTCCATTGCCAACCTTTATATCATAGTACCTGCAGTAAAATAAACAGAAACCAAACTTGTGGTTATTGCTATAAAGACTTGATATTTCAATGTTGATATGGGATCATGTAGTAACAGTGAATATGTACGGACTTGAGACCATTGGGAAGAGTCGTGAAGTCGCTTTCGGGTAACTTGGATGCACGTAGCTGCAGAGAAGTGAAGTGTATGTAAGAGATTGATTCCTGAGTCAAGAACGCAATGTACATATGTTTAGATATCAACTATTGCTTACAGCTCTTCTGCTGGTGCTTACGGCCTCGGCTGAATCAGTTAACAAAATCCCAGAACCTGTTACTTGATTCAGACAGCAACTAACTTGTTAAGGATTTTGAAACAGTAGTACTGATTGAAAGCTATCTAGCTTAAGTGAGAATGCCGAGAACTAAAGGGAAAGAAACTAACCGGCCGCCGTGAGGAGACATCCAAGTAAAGCCCTTCTCCCTTCGTAGCTCACCGGCGCCGGAGAAACGGCAGTCTCTGATCTGATAATCTTTTCGCCGCCGGGAGAAGGCAACGAGCACCGGTACGGTTTGGATTGCCTTTTCGATCCTGCAAATTTCGAAAGAATGTTTTGCTTAATCCGTGTCTTGATTCATGGTTCAAAACATACAAGTGATTATATACACGCAACAGAGAGAGATAGTGATAACATATGTGTGTACTTGATGTAAAAGGAATGGAGGAAGATAGAGATTGATGGAGAGGGTGAACAAGTTTCACCGTTACGATCATTGTTTCAGTGTTTTAGTGTTCGTTCACAGATATTCTTAAAACCAAAAGAAACTGACTGATTCTTGCGTTCTTTCAGGGTGTGCCCCTTAATCGTGTGTGAGAAAGAGAAAGCGATAATATTGGAATTCTCATCCACAAGTTCTTTAGATTTTAGATTCTCTCAAGTCACTCACACCATTTGTTTACAAACCAAAACTTATTAATAAAATTTAATAAAAAATCTCTTTTTATTTGCAAACTTTAGTCACTTTTTTAACAATTTTTTTTTTTTTTTTTTGATGATCCACCAATTGCGTCCATAGTTGTTATTAACACGTTAGGGATGATTGATAGTGTTTTATTTTGGGTTCGTTGTAATTAATGTGTCCGGTTTAATCTATATAACGACGAAAAAGTCATGCTTAATGTTTGGTGAGAATCGGTTTTTAAAGGTTTTAAAACCAAACCGGTCACGGGTAGTTTTGTTGTTGATATAAGAGCCGCCACTTACTTAGCTCTCTCTCTCTCTCTCTCTCTCAGTTCTCTCTATAAACCCAGAGCCGCCATGGATTCCGTCCGGCTTCCAACGGCTCCATCCTCTCTCCGTAGCCACATTCCCCTGCCATCCAAACCAGTGATCGGAGTCACTCACTTCTCCCGATCTCGGATCCCAGTGGCAGTTATGTCCCGAGACGAAACATCTATGGCTCCACCGCCTCCGGTGCCTCCTCTGCCACGTCTCAAGGTCTCTCCGAGCTCGTTGCAATACCCTGCCGGTTATCTCGGTGCTGTACCGGAGCGTACGAACGATCCGGAGAACGGAAGCATCGCAGAGGCTATGGAGTATTTGACGAATATACTGTCCACTAAGGTTTACGACATCGCCATTGAGTCACCACTCCAGTTGGCAAAGAAGCTGTCTAAGAGGTTAGGTGTTCGGATGCTTCTCAAAAGAGAAGACTTGCAACCTGTAAGTAAAAGCTTCTCCCTTTTAATTTTTATCTTTGATCGCATTGTTTAGGCAAATGAAACATTTTTAAAGGTTCGAGATTTATACATTTTGGTTGATTTTGGCTGAATCATGTATGAAATGGAGGTTACAACAGTTGAGATTTGTGTATTGTTACTGAGTGGTAACTGGAAATGTTTCAGGTTTTCTCGTTTAAGCTTCGTGGAGCTTACAATATGATGGTGAAACTTTCAGCGGATCAGTTGGCAAAAGGAGTTATCTGCTCCTCAGCTGGAAACCATGCTCAAGGAGTTGCTTTAGCTGCTAGTAAACTTGGCTGCAATGCTCTGATTTTTATGCCTGTTACAACCCCAGAGATCAAGGTACTTTCTTTTTTAAGCTTTCTCCATGTGTTGAATCCTCTCTGAAGTTAGTATCTAATGGTCTTCTGGGAATGAAAACAGTGGCAATCTGTCGAGACTTTGGGTGCAACGGTTATTCTGAAGGGTGATACGTATGATGAAGCACAAGAACATGCTAAGAAACGAGCTGAAGAAGAGGGTCTGACGTTTATACCTCCTTTTGATCACCCGGATGTTATTGCTGGACAAGGGACTATTGGGATGGAGATCACTCGTCAGGCTAAGGGTCCATTGCATGCTATATTTGTGCCAGTTGGTGGTGGTGGTTTAATAGCTGGCATTGCTGCTTATGTGAAGAGGGTTGCTCCCGAGGTACTCTTTTTTCTGTGACTGGTTTGGCAATGTCACCATGGTTCTGTTCTTGTTCCTAACAGCTACTTGTCACCAAATCCGACAGTTTTATTGAGAAATGAGTTCCTTTTTTGTCTACATCTGCAGCTTCTGCTTCTTACTGTGACTGCTGGCTTATGCAGGTGAAGATCATTGGTGTAGAACCAGCTGATGCAAATGCAATGGCATTGTCGCTGCATCACGGTGAGAGGGTCATATTGGACCAGGTTGGTCGATTTGCAGACGGGGTTGCAGTTAAAGAGGTTGGTGAAGAGACTTTTCGTATAAGCAGAAACCTAATGGATGGTGTTGTTCTTGTCACACGTGATGCTATTTGTGCATCAATAAAGGTACGGTATTATCCTTGATTCGTTATTGCTTTGTGATAAGGTGTTTAGCTTGCATGGTAGATAACCTTATACTTGTTTCTACAGGATATGTTTGAGGAGAAACGGAACATATTGGAACCAGCAGGAGCTCTCGCTCTCGCTGGAGCTGAGGCATACTGCAAATATTATGGCCTAAAAGACGTGAATGTCGTAGCCATAACCAGTGGTGCAAACATGAACTTCGACAAGCTAAGGATTGTGACAGAACTCGCCAATGTCGGTAGGCAACAGGAGGCTGTTCTTGCTACTCTCATGCCGGAAAAACCTGGAAGCTTTAAGAAATTCTGTGAACTGGTGTGTATTTGGTATTATAGCATATAGAAGTTAATCCCATTACAGAGGGAATCTAATACAAAACATTGATGGGTGCAGGTTGGACCGATGAACATAACAGAGTTCAAATACAGATGTAGCTCAGAAAAGGAGGCTGTTGTCCTATACAGGTAAGTCCATTCCTGGGAAATTTCTTCTTTCCAAGTAGGTTATTTATCCTCTAATCTGCACAATTTTTGTTTATTGCTTGTCTAGTGTTGGAGTTCACACAGCCGATGAGCTCAAAGAACTACAGAAGAGAATGGAATCCTCTCAACTTAAAACTGTCAATCTCACAACCAGTGACTTAGTGAAAGATCACCTGCGTTACTTGGTGCGTTCTTGATTGATTTCTCTCTGTGCTTTTTTCTCAATTAGGATTACTACATTTCCATTGGTTGATGTAAAGTTGATATGTGCATCACACTATATCCTTATCAGATGGGTGGAAGATCAAGTGTTGAAGACGAGGTTCTATGCCGATTCACCTTTCCCGAGAGACCTGGTGCTCTAATGAACTTCTTGGACTCTTTGAGTCCACGTTGGAACATAAGCCTTTTCCATTACCGTGGACAGGTTTGTATCCCAATATCATAAATTTCACCAGTAAAAAATATTTAATGGAACTTTGAGGCTCATCCTTACTATACAATCTTAAAAAAGGGTGAGACGGGCGCAAATGTGCTGGTGGGGATCCAAGTACCAGAGCAAGAAATGGAGGAATTTAAAGACCGAGCAAAAGCTCTTGGATACGAATACTTCTTGGTAAGTGATGACGAGAATTTTCAGCTTCTGATGCACTGAGTATTGAAGCTGTGATGGATAATCCAAATCCGAGGAAGAAGAAGAAGAGCCCATCAGAGTCTTCCTCCTGATCATGGTTGTTCTTGAGCTTCTTTTTGTCAGTTTCCACTCACTCGGGTCTGTCCGATGAGAGAGTTTTAGTGACGGGCCTGTCACAGTAGTTCAGTAAGCAACCTTTATATATTTATTTGCGACGACCTCTCTCTCATCCCTATGTATAAGCTGTAGACCTTGGGATACCTTATGGTTTCACCAAGGAAGTTGAGGCTAGCTAGCCTCCCAATAAAAATTAGGTTTTTCTAGTGTTTTAAACATGTTGTGCAGATTTTTGAAAAGACACTACTTTCTGGTAGAGAGAAAGAGATAAAAGAGAAAGATGAGGCGTATGAAAGCATAGGTAAAGAAACGTAACGTTGCATCAAAACGAAAGTTGCAAGTGTTTTTTTTTTTTTTTTTTTTTTTTTTTTTTTTTTCGTGTGCACCAAGTGTTTTGTCTATATCCAATTTTTTAGGCTCAGTTTACATTTTTTTGGTTTGCTCTGTTTTAAGACCGGCAAATACAAGTGTATTTATTTACGCGGTTAACCAGATACTCTCTTTTATTTTTTTGGTCGCCAACCAGATACTCTCTATATGGTAAAAGAAAACCTCTTACATTTATTTTTATTTTAAGCCTTTTTAATAATGATTGATTTTGTTTTTATATATGCAGATTTGTACTTTGAATCTAATTAAAAAGTTGAATATATTTTTATGAAGACTTTGTCTACTTATTATTGTTGGTGTTATAAAAAATACAGTTAAGAACATACATATGTTTGTTTGTGCACAAAAGAAAAAGAGAAAAGAGAAAAAAAAACATATTCTATTTCTTAAGAAAAATATTGAAGCATTATATATATACTTGTCAAAATCTAATGTAAATGTAGGTTGAATTATATATATACTTGTCAGAAAAAAAGAAAGGTAAATAAAAACAGTGGCAAAAAAAAAAAACAAAAGGCAGGCTCCATTGTTTTGTCCAAAACCAGCCCCTTGGTTTAGTCATTCATTATTTTTGTAATCCCATAAAAGGAAACAAACCAAAACCAAAACCATAAAACCATGGGCAGTTTTCAGATCATCCCTTCCCCCAAAACCATCTGCTCTCTCACCTTTTTCGTCCACTGTGTATGTTTGTATATTATTCTCTCTCTCTCATCCTTTTGACTCCATATCTTCCTAAAACCGCTTCACAAAAACAAAACCACAAAACTGCTTCTTCAACACAACTAAACAAAAATCAAAAGTGAGAGAGAAGTCGAAGATACTATAACTACAAATTCTTGTCGGAATTCTCTTACTTTGTCGGATATTCGAATTCTTTCTCTGGGATAGTGGAATTCCGTTTGGATTCTATCTTTCTACAATTGTTGCAAATTATTCCAATTTAGGGCTTCAGAGTCGTTTGATGGAATCGAATGTGATGTTTTCTGGGTTCAGCCCAAGAATGTTGAGCTTAGAAATGCCTCAGAATCCACAAAATCCCCAAAATTCAGTTCAATTCCAGCATCCACACCCTTACACTAGTACCTCAGCCGATCAGCAAACTCAGCCACCGATGATAAAACCCTTGTACCCATACGCCTCTGCTCCTCCTTCGAAACCCAAGCAATTGTCCCCCATGAGCGGCTGCAACGGAGACGACGAAGATCGCGGGTCAGGTTCCGGGTCCGGTTGCAACCCGGATGACAGCGCGGGAACCGACGGGAAGAGGAAACTCTCACAATGGCATCGAATGAAATGGACGGACACGATGGTTAGGCTTCTGATCATGGCAGTCTTCTACATCGGCGACGAAGCTGGTTTAAACGATCCAATCGATGTCAAGAAAAAGAGTGGCGGCGGCGGAGGAGGGATGTTGCAGAAGAAAGGGAAGTGGAAGTCAGTGTCGAGAGCAATGGTGGAGAAAGGTTTCTCTGTTTCACCGCAACAGTGTGAAGACAAGTTCAATGATTTGAACAAAAGGTACAAGAGAGTTAACGACATTCTCGGTAAAGGAATCGCTTGTCGTGTCGTTGAGAATCAAGGCTTGTTGGAGAGTATGGATCATCTGACTCCCAAGTTGAAAGATGAAGTCAAGAAGCTGCTTAACTCTAAGCATCTCTTCTTCAGAGAGATGTGTGCTTATCATAACAGTTGTGGTCATCTCGGTGGCCACGACCAGCCACCGCAACAGAGCCCGGTTACGATTCCGGTTCAGCAGAACTGCTTTCACGCGGCGGAAGCAGGGAAAATGGCGAGAATTGCGGAGCGTGAGGAGGCGGAGGAGGATGTAGAGTCGGATATGGCGGAGGATTCGGAGTCGGAGATGGAGGAATCAGAGGAGGAGGAGGAGGAAGTAGAAGAGACGACGAAGAAGAAGCGGAGGGTGTTGACGACGGCGGTGAAGCGGTTGAGGGAAGAAGCGGCGCGTGTAGTGGAAGATGTTGGGAAGAGCGTGTGGGAGAAGAAAGAGTGGATGAGGAGAAAGATGTTGGAGATAGAGGAGAAGAAGATTGGGTATGAGTGGGAAGGGGTGGAGATGGAGAAGCAGAGAGTGAAGTGGATGAGATATAGAAGCAAGAAGGAGAGAGAGATGGAGAAAGCTAAGCTTGACAATCAGAGACGGAGGCTTGAGACGGAGAGGATGGTTTTGATGTTACGGCGGAGTGAGATTGAGTTGAATGAGTTACAGTCTTCGGGTAAACGGGTTGACCCTTGTTCCGCCACCGGTTGATGTTGTTTAATGTTTTTTTTTTGTGGTTTCAGCCTTTGTTTAGTGTTCAGGATTACATTTATTACTTTCTAGTTTCTCTAATGTTGAGGATGTTATTAGGATTCAGTAATTATTAATCAGCAGATTATATATCATAAAATAAAAGTATGGAGACAAAAGATAATTTGATTGGTTCAGTGGAAGAAATTATAGTAAGCAAAAAGAAAAAGGTCTTTTAAATAAGCAAATGCTAACACAGACACAGTCGTTAATAGAATGACAAAAAAGAAAGAACACACCCGGTGGGACTCGAACCCACAATCGTTTGATTAGAAGTCAAACGCCTTATCCATTAGGCCACGGGTGCTTTTGCTGACATTCTGATGAACAACCTTTAAGACAAAAGATCAATAAAATTACAAACAACAAAAAGGGTCAGCACGCCCGGTGGGACTCGAACCCACAATCGTTTGATTAGAAGTCAAACGCCTTATCCATTAGGCCACGGGCGCATTTTGTTCGACTCACTGAATTAAAATATATATAACATAAACTACACGTCGAGGCATTTTTGTCTAGTTGTTTGAGCAGATATTATGTTTCGTACGTGTTTCTTGCACCTACAGTCAGATTTAATGAGCAGTTCAAGCCACTAGAACTATAGGTCGCATCTAGAAGACTGAGGATAAAAAAATAGCGGATATGAAATGTGTTAGAAAATTGCTTTCAAAGACCAAACAATTTTCATCTAAATAAATTTGTATTTTGGTCCGAATATGATACCAAGTCAAGTAAAATGACAAACACTCCCGATATCAAATTGGTTTCGTGAATTATAAGGTACAGTCGTTGTCCTTGAACAAATGATAGCAAAGTGATCGAACGAAGATACACAGTGACTCATGACTTTCATGTTGGTAGAGGCTCAATAAGTCATGAAAAAAATCAATCAAACGAGCAAATGAAATCTTCTTGTGTAATACTATAAGACTCGTTCACCATTTCAAGCAATAATACCGGACTTACTAAAAATGAGAGGATGACATTGGACTAATACCAATTTCTTTTGATGTAACTGTTGTAGTAACACATAGTATTAACGACTGTAACGGAAGCCGACACTAAGCAGGCACAGAGATCATGTATTGTGCGTGGATCCCTTGGGTTAACGGTTTAAGATTCGGTGGGTTTTCTAATCCTCGGTTTTGTAAAACTTGACATTAAAATCACACGCTCAATTTGGTTTAGTTCGTATTTTTCAAAATCATTCATTTTCTTCTTGCATTATATACATACATGTGTAATTACAATACAAACACTCTTAAGTCTTAATTAAGTAGATAACATTCGTGATACGTAAACACACTAAAAAGAGCTGAATTAAAAAAGTCATATGGGATTAATAGTAGGTTAACCAATCCAAACCGAATCCTGTAAATTTAAGTTTGGTTCGGTTTGGTTTTCTGTTTATGCTTCTTTTTTTTTTTTTTATTCCAACCCTTACCACTGCCTAACGGAGCCGTTGTGACGGCCCATCCCCTTTTGCACTAGTTCACGCTTTGACGCCTTCTTCTTCCGTTTCTTCGTCCTCTCGCCGCTAATTAACGCCGTCTCTGGTGCTCCCGCCGCCGTAACCCTAACGGCATCTTTAATGGCGTCGTGTGATGACGATTTCTCTCTACTTGGAGATGATCAATCAAACCCTAGCCAACATCAGCATCACCACCATCACCAAGTTCTTCATCACACACCCTACGCTCCTAGGCGATTCACCCCGAAGACTTCGAATCAGATCCATTTGTCGCATCACCGGAGGAACGGCGACGAGGACGACGAGAACGATGTCGTTGTAGAGGCTTCCTCCGCTTTTCACGGTGTAAATCCTTTCGTCGCGGACGAAAATTCGAATCCGTATGATGATAATAACGCAGCTGTCGACGAAGACGAAGATCTTGGTGCCAACAGATCCAGAATCGGAGGTGTTCGTGTGGAGAAGAGGCAGAGTCAGGAGGAGCTTAGTGACGGAGGAACAACTAATGGTGGTGAGACCACTCCCTATGGTAGCTTCAAGCGGCCGAGGACATCGTCTTCCTCCGCTGGTGAGTACAGGAAGGATAGGGAAGAGTGGAGCGATGCGGCGATCGCGTGTTTGTTAGATGCGTATTCGGATAAGTTCACACAGCTTAACAGAGGGAATCTGCGGGGAAGGGATTGGGAAGAGGTTGCTTCATCGGTGAGTGATAGGTGTGAGAAGCTGAGTAAGAGTGTAGAACAGTGTAAAAACAAGATCGATAATCTCAAGAAGAGGTATAAGCTAGAAAGGCATAGGATGAGCAGTGGTGGAACATCATCTAGCCACTGGCCCTGGTTTAAGAAGATGGAAGATATTGTGGGCAATTCATTGGCCATGAAAGGTGCGTCGGATGAAGATAGAAGCGGCAGCTCAATGGGAAATGCTGTGAAGCCAGCTAGGAGGTAATGCTGAAACGATCACTAGCAGCCCGGTTGTATTGTTACTGCCCTTTTGTTTTGTGCTCTTGTGAATTTGGAAGTTTTTGGTTTTGTATTCTTGTTTCAGGTATCCCCTAGTAACATATAACCCTGGAGTTCAGATAAATAACGTCAAATCCAAGGCTACTTCAAATCCTAGATGGCGAAGAGTAGTTCTGAAAATCAGTGGGGCAGCTCTTGCTTGCACTGGTCCTAATAACATAGATCCAAAGGTTTCTTCCAGAATTCATAATCTTTCTCATTGATGTATTTTCATTATTGGGGTCAGCGTTAACTTCTCTTCTTGGGTATTCAGGTAATCAATCTGATTGCCAGAGAAGTTGCAATGGCTTGTCGTCTTGGTGTAGAGGTAACACTCTGTTCTCAACTGTTAGTGGTTTATCCTTTCTCAGTCAAATGATATTCATAGTTTGTTTCTTCCAGGTAGCAATAGTTGTTGGGAGTCGGAACTTTTTCTGTGGCAGCACATGGATAACTGCTACTGGTCTGGATAGAACCACTGCATATCATATCAGGTTGGTCAAAATATTACAGTAGCTTTTTCCTTCAGAATGTACTGTGCTTTGTCTAAACTATGATTGCTGTAGTATGATAATCGAACTGGGTAGCAAAAATACTATATGAGAATTTTATGTGCTGTCATGGAGGGTAATGTTTTCATATAGATTCATTGTGGTCTGAAGTTCTCACAGATCTGTTGTTTTCTCATCAATACAAATGGTCTTACATATCATCATTGCCAAAACATCCATGTACTTAGCAACAAATTTGTATCGTCTTACTATAGTTATCGACATCTTAGATATGTTTGTTCAGATCAACAAATCTATGTTCTATTTCTGTGGGAATAGGCTGTTCAGATCAATAAATTTGTATTGTCGTAGTTTATATATCAACATCTTAGAGATAGGTTGTTCAGATCAACAAATGTATGTTCTGTTTTGGTGGAGATAGGTTGTTCTGCTCACCAAATTTTTGTTGTGTAACAGTATGATGGCTTCTGTGATGAATTCTGCTTTACTTCAATCATCTCTGGAGAAAATAGGGGTTCAGGCACGATTACAAACTGCAATATCGGTTCAAGGTGTCGGGGAGCCTTACAATCGTCAACGAGCCACCCGACATCTAGATAAGGGAAGAGTGGTAATATTTGGTGGCATAGGTGCAACGCTTGGAAATCCACTTTTATCATCTGATGCATCTGCAGCCCTTCGAGCTATAGACAGTACAACTCTTTTCCTCTTCTCACTGAACCAATTTAATAACTTCTCTTTCGATCAATAACTTGTTCTAAATCCTGACCTGAGATATCTCGTTACACATTATCAGTTAATGCGGAGGCAGTGGTGAAAGGAACAAACGTTGATGGTGTTTATGACTGCCATTCACAAGATAGTAATGTGACATTTGAGCATATAACATTTCAAGATTTGGCTTCTAGAGGTCTTACGTCAATGGATACAATGGCCCTTAACTTCTGTGAAGAGAACAACATTCCAGGTTGAGATCTTTCTCTCTCTCTCTCTCTCTCACTTATCATGGTTATTAATTTCCAGCTCCTCAGTTGAAGACTTAGATCAGACTGTGAGATAAATGGTTAAACCTAGTGATTTTTTCACATTATAGAAATTGTCTTTGGAATCCAACCGTAAACATGTAAATATTCCTTAAGGTTTGATCTCACCTCATCTATTGTAGGCCACTCGGTGCTAGATAATTTAACCAATAGTTTACTCTATTTGGGACCTCTAAAATCCTGATTTCACACGGTTGTTAGAAAATATGAATACTTAGCCAGTGCTGATTGCTGAGTAGTCGATGATAGATGTAATCAAATATTGAGAATGTAATGAACTAATCCTTCTTGTCTGGGGTGTAAAAAAAACAGTTGTGGTATTTAACTTTTTGGAAGCTGGGAACATCACAAAGGCGTTATGCGGAGAACAAGTGGGTACTCTGATCGATAGAACCGGGAGGGGAGTGAGTTAGTAATATATGTGCCCTTCTTCATTCATAAAGAGTAAAGACCTATGTAACTTTATAAAACTCGTTTTTAAAGTAATTATATTTCATAGATGAGTTGACCAAACAAAAGGAGAGTCTAGCACTCCACTTGGAGTGAGTGGAGTGCTCTCCATTTCGCCAAGTTTTTTTTCCTTTTCTTTTCTTATTCTGAGCAGCATATCTGAGTTGAGTTAACACACTGCAGTTTTGTATATTAACTTATAAATATTAATTTTTTATATTGAGTTTCGTATAAAGTATATAATCTGATAAAGATGTGAACGAAACAAAGAAATACGACGTGCGTCTCTATCCTAAGCACATGTATGGGTCGTGGAAACGGATAATTACGACATCGCGTTAGTGAATGAATTATTAAAGCAAAAAAATAGAAAGAAAAAAAAAGGGAGATGTATCCGTAAGCTACGAGAAAGACAAAGTAGTCGCTAGAAGCTTCATAAGATATTTGTCCCCTCCCTTCTTATCCTCTCTCTCTCTCACACTCTCTATATAAACAGTCACTCTTCACTCCTCTTAAACGCAAACGCAGAAAGTAGCATTAATAAGTATTGTGATCATACTTTTATTTTTCTTAATTTCAAGCACAAAGCCGTAAGAGCGAGCGAACAAAAGATGCAGACTGTATCAGTTGACGAAACCAAAAACACGGTGGTGCTACGAGCTGAGCACCAGAACGAGGAAGGTCGGAAAGCTGTTGACAAGTTCGAGCTGAAGACTCGTAATCCGGAGACGATCAAGAGCGTCGAGCGGAAGCTGATGGAGAAAGGCGTCCAGCGGATGGATCGTCATCCTTCCGACGGGATTCCGCTCAGGCGACCTCCCTCAAAGTCAGGTCACGGCGGGAAGTACACGTGGGAGGGACCGGATCGGATGGAGGATTACGAGATGCAGCCGGATCCGGCGGCGATGGACGAAGGGGATCCTAACTACGATGAGGAACAGGTGAAGAAGAATCTGGATGATGACGTGGCGGTGGATCTTGTCAAAGGAGAGGTTGAGGTGGCCAAGGAGGCTCCGGCTGGTGTGGCTAGAGTTGAGGTTGATCCTCGCTTGCTCACTCGTTGAGGTTGTTGAAGGAAAGAAAATGTTGGTTGGGGGCACAATGTGAGAAACAGAGGAAAAAGTAGGGGTTGAATTTGGATTTTTTCTTTTTTTAGTTTTCTTCTTTGTGATATGACTCTGTAATGTTCGGCTGGTGCAGCTGAACTTTATCTATGTAAAAAAAACAATAATTGTGATCTGTTTGCATTGAAAAAATACACCAGTCGGCGGTGGTCTTTTTCATTATCCAACATTGAACTCCATTTAGTTTCTTAAAAAATTGAACATAGTGTTGTGATGGTCCAATATATGGTTGACAGATAAAGAGAGGAGAAAGTGCGAGAGTTGAATTAAGTGTTGTGATGTATTTTAGTGCTTTGAACATGTTTCTTGCCATTATCCACAAAACATAAGTTAGGTCTGATCTAATCAAGTATCCTTTGTGTAATATGAATAAGCACGCCAAGTGTCATCTCTACCTTCAGTGACTTGTAACTTCTTTTCATCTGAGGATCCATACTTCTCTAGTGCACAACACAACCAAAAACAAAACAAAAAAAGGAAAAATGCAGGCTGTGGGGTTCGAACCCACGCGCACTTATGTGCAGAAGAACTTAAGTCTTCCCCCTTAACCTCTCGGGCAAACCTGCGCTGATGCAGTAAATGCCGCGTATTATGATTTTATATGTATAGTACTTACTTCGGGCCCAAATGCAAACTTTCACACTAAAACATATCGGCCCAGTTACAATTAGTGGACTCATATTGCAACAGAGGTTTATTCATCCTTTTTTTAGCAAGACGCAATGGATATATTATTCTCCTCAGCTGTTTGCTTGCATTAATATGAAGGATTTACTGAAAAAACAAACAAACAGCTCCACTGTGAGTTAAGGAGGACTTAAAGTGTGTCGTGTTTGTTTACTCTTTTGATTCGAGTCACATGTACTAAATAAATGGACTGTCTCTCTCTCTCTCTCTCTGGTATAATTGTTGTTACTTACTCTTTAGGCCCAAACTGATTGATCAACCACACTTATGACTTATGCAAAGAAAGAAGATGTACTGACGGCGTTAGTTAAAACTTGGTTTGTAAACGGAAAATCCAAAGACACGTGAATATTACTATTTAGTATACGGTTTGGTCATGCGTTCTTCTTCTTCTTTCTTTCTTTTATCCACTTGCGCGGACCAATCAATGACACTCTCTCTTTTCTTTTCTTTTTTTTGGCAGTGTGCTTCCGACGACAACAGAATGCAGCATTTAATCTCTCAAATTACCCTTGTACCCTCCCTTTCCCTATAGCCTTTTTTTTTTTTTTTTGATGATATTTGTTGTGTGTTTTTCTTTTTAAAAAACAGAATTAAACGTAAAAGGATCTCTTTCTTCTTTCTTATTTGTGGAGTACTATATTTTTACTAAATGTGCTTTTTAGTTATGTTTTTCTTTTTCTGGTACAATATATTGCATTATTTCTTTTTCTTTTTTTTTTCAATAAAGATGAGGCTGAAACCACATTATTACAAGTCTTTCTATAAGAAAAAGAAAAAAAAAAAAAGTAAAAAATGAAGTTACGAGAGAGAGATTATATAATAAGATTCTCTTACTCAAGTGAAAAATAAGAAAGAAAGAAATTAAAGAAGTCATGCAAGTGGTCCCATAAGGAAAAAAGAAAGAAAGAGGAGAAGCTCACTCACTTACGTTCACAATATACAGCTTTAATACGTGACTGTGTTGTGTTGTTACTCTCTATTGGTCGTGGCATCATCGTGCAGTATTTTTGTTTCAAGGAGTGTTTTATTTACAGCACTTCTAGTTTTATTAAAATCTGACTATTTGACTAAGCCAACGCTCTCCAGTCCTCTCCTCTGTAGCACACTACTCTGGTCGTGTTTAGCTTAGTCCGCAAATATAGTCTAGTATGCTCCATCTTGTTACGTAAGTTTGCTACCATTTAGGATTTACTTTGACCTATTCCACTAAATCACTAATCCAACTTAAATTTCTTTTAGAATTATTTCGACATATTCAGTTTCCAAACGGTAATATATCACTTTCAAACACAAAATATTCTTTGTTTTTTTTGTGATTTTATTTTCATATTAAATCTTGTCACGGAATTAGTTATGTTCTGACTATGACAATGTGTGTGTAACGGTTAAATCTTATGTAAAATTACGACGCGTGTCATATTGTTGTAAACAACGTACACTAAAACTCATTCACACATATATCAAAATTTGAATTCAAAACTTTTTAATCTTAAAACGACGGACGGTCACACTAAAAATCAGTCAAAGTTTTGGGATTTTTTAAAGACAAAAGATAAGAACGTATTCAAAGAATACAATACGTGCCAAATTCTTGTAAACTATAGATATGATACTAATAAACCTCATCCATAAATGTTCCATATTTTGAATTTAAAACCTTCTTATCTTAAAATTTACCAAAAATCACGAAAATTAGTCAAATTTTGCATTGTTCTATGAAAATTATGAGAATATATTAAATAGATACGGCACGTGCCAATTTTCTGTAAATTATAGATAAAATCAACTTTATTGTATATGATAAGAATCCATATATTTTGACCAAAATATGGAATGCATATCTCCAATTTTGAATAATAAGACAATTGTTTTGAAGAAATAGCATAATGTGAAGAATTAAACCTGCAAAGAAAGACAAAAGATTGGTATTAAAGAGAAAAAGGAAGGACTAGATTTGCAATAAACGAAAAAGGTAAACTTGATGGATATATATAGTTGTAGCTCTCTCTCTCTCTCTCTCTCTCTCTTTCTCTCTATAAATTATCATCACAAAAGTTTTGTCTGTGACTCTGAAAGACTTAGGACTCTTGGCTTACTTGGCTTCCATCGTTTTCTTTTCTTTTATTTTCTCGCTGGTAAAAAAACTCTCCTGCAACTCTTTCAAGCTCTCATTTTCAGATTACTTTTGTTTGTATCAAATCTGTTGTTTTCACTCTTAAGAACTTATTGGTATCTCTCTCCCTTTCAATTGAATGACATTAGAATTAAAACATTTTGAGGAAGTTTCACCTACCACTAATGGTTCCCTTCCTTCTCTTCTCCAAATATGGTTTCTTTTCAATGACCAAAAATGTAGCACGGTTAATCTCTTCATAATTATTTTTCCTGATCTGTAATTTTTGTTTTTTTTTTTTGTATCCACAGGTACAATTGTGATTGAACAAAGAAGAGGAGAAGTGATCTGGTTTAACAGATATGGAAGGAGAAGTGAGAAAATATAGAGAGAGACAAGCTAGGGTTCAAAGGGGACTAGTCATACAAGAACAACCCATATTTCAAAACATGCAGCACAATCAAGTGCCTGAATCAGACAGGTTTTGTGTCCTCTACTGCTTTCAGTGATTTACTCTCTTCTTCTGAAATTTTCCATACTTTTTTTGGTCATGATTCTGTTTTGTCTGAACTCTACAAAAGGAAGAGAGTAATAAATCAGATATCTTTCACTGTTTAGCAACATTCTGTAACTGAGAAAACAAAGGCAATTTTTGATGAACTGGGTTTGGCTGTGTGATCTTTGTGTGTGTGTGTGTGCAATTACTTTTCTTTTTTTTTCTTTTTGTTATTTTATACTTTATAAGGAAGAGATGTGAACTGGAATTGATTATTGATCATGCAGGAGGAGACTTAGTCTTGAGAACTTACCTGGCCTGTACAACTTGTCTTGTTCACAACTACTGGCTCTGGCTAATAACACACTCGGCACAAGTTCATCAGTTGGTGCATCACCAAGTTCTCAATATTTGATGGATTTTTGGATTGATAGCTCGAGTATGGAGTCTAATCCGTTGATTTCCAACCCTGGATCCTCCCTTGGGATAAATACAGGCATTCCTGGAGAAAGGACAATGCAAACACCACAACGTGAGTAAACCCTGAATTTGTAGGAATGTTTTTTAAATTGTCGTGTTGCAGCATAGGTATAGTGAAGAGTTATATGGTTTGCTTTTGTAAATTTTACACACTGGAGAATAGATTTAGACTGGACCTTTAAGATAAAGTAGGCGTCTATGTATAGACCACCTGTAGATAAGGTCAGAGTGAAATGAGTAATCAATTAAGGCATACTAAGTTCTTAGTGAGGTTTCAAATCATGAATTCTATTTGTACCTGATATCTTATTCTTGTCTTGATGAAACCACAGATGATGTGCCAACTCCACAGAAGTTTCTTTGTGACCTTAATCTTACACCTGAAGAGATGGTGAGCACCAGTTTCCAACCAACAGAACCTGAGATTCCTCCTGTGACATTAGATACGCCAGGAACAAGATTGTCTGAAACTGATCAGAAGCCTCATGACCCTATCAAGAAGTCTATTCTTGAAACTGGATCTCCTTCAGGAGTAAAGAGAAGAAAGAGACCACGAATTGATGAGAATGCGCAGCTGAAAACACCAGCATCAAAGAGAAAAAAGATCAGGCCGAAGGTCGTTCGTGAAGCCAAAACAAACGAAGCCTCATCTAAATCAGGGATTAAAAAACCCTCTGTTTCTGCTGCGACTGCTACTAAACCTTCTGAAGAGAGCAGTTACATTCGGCCTAAAAGGTCGAGAAAAAGGTCTGTGCGACTTGACTTTGACCTTCAAGACGAAGACCAGGAGTATTGTGGTCTCGACTTCCCTTCAGAATATCGCACAGGTGGGGAAGGACCAACACTTGGGCTATTTGGTAGCATCCCAAAAGGAAGACGGAAAAAAAGAATCCATGCCAATAAGAGACAACAAAAAATCAATCCGTCTTCAGAACGAGGCAATGATTGCCTCAGTTCTACGCTGTCTCTTGTCAACACAGGACCAGCAGCTTTCTCTGAGTCAGAAGAAGACATTGCAAGTAATTCACACATTTATCAAAGCTTGGGAAGAAAAAGATCAAGATTAGTGACCATACCGAGGAACTTTGGGTCACTGGCGAAACTTTTAGAAAGTATTGTACCAAGCAAGTGCAGTCTTCCGCTGCTTAATGTCTCGGAGATACAACCAAAAGTGCCTAGGAAGAAGCGGAGACAAAGAGATCCTTTAGCAAGCCAACTCAATGCAAGGATACTACACAGAGAGTGGCAAAGTCCAAAACCAAAAGGTTTGGCAACACACAAGCTGAACATGCAAATGCATTTTCATATCAAATAGATACTAGATTTCTAACATTTGAATCATTATTACAAAATGCAGTTACATCATTTGCTGAGATGTGGATTAGAAGTATGGAACTCGATTCCGTCACTAAGAAGCTTCAAGAGCTGGATATCAACAAGAAGTTTCAAGAAAGTGCACTTGTTCTATACCAAACCTTATATGAAGAGCAACGCGTACTGATAAAATATAGCAAGAAGCAGCTACCAAAAGTAGATATAGATCCCGAGACAAATCGAGTATTTAAACTCTTGATGTCGAGTATCAACAACGACGGTGTTGACGGATTGGATGAGGACAAACGCAAATGGTGGAAAGATGAGAGAAACGTGTTCCATGAGAGAGCAAACTCGTTCATTGCTAGAATGAGTATAGTGCAAGGTACTATTTTATTGATTTTAACTTCGGCATTGCTTCGTGACTTGAGTTTTAAATCTTAGCTCATTATTTATTGTATACAATGCAAAATGGTCTAAAAGCAAACCTATTACTGCAGGGGATAGGACTTTCTCACGTTGGAAAGGATCTGTTGTGGATTCAGTAGTGGGAGTTTTCCTCACCCAGAATGTTGCAGATCATTCATCAAGGTAATGCGTTCAAACGATTTGTAATAAACAGAGGATTTAAGCAACATGAATGGTTTTCAAATTATTAACTTCTTCACTTTTGCAGTTCTGCATATATGGATCTTGCCGCTGAGTTTCCTGTCAACTGGAACTTCAACAAGAGATCATCTCTTGAAGAGTGGGGAAGTTCAGCAACTTCAAATCCAAGAATTCGCAAGTCAACTTGTGTCATCATAGAGGAGATTGATGATGATGATGATGAGGACGGCACTGATGCTGTTTGTGCTCATGAATCCTCTAAAACCAGTGACAGTTCCATGAGCTCTACAAATCAGTCAACAATGACGCTGCTGGATCCATCTGCGGGCACGTCTACTTCTTCTCACTGTGAACTGAACCTAAATGAAGTACCACATGAAGTAGAGAACTGTGATGTTGATGCACTCACAAACAAATTCTATGAAGAAATTCAGGTTCAACATATGTCGAGCCATCAACAAGAACTGGACAGTACCCTTCAGGCACAAGACCAGGAAAAGAACACAAGAAAGGAGGTTGTGAAGAACAAGGAGAAGAAGAAACCAACTACTTCCAGACCAGTAGGTCGACCACCCAAAAACAAGGTGAAGGAATCAAAGAAAAAGTCAAAGAAACCAGCAAAGAGCAAGCTGGAAGACAGCTTTGACTGGGATAGTTTGAGAAAGCAAGTAGAAAGTGGTGGCAAAAAGAGAGAGAGAACAGAAAGAACGCTGGACACAGTTGATTGGGATGCACTTCGGGGTTCTAGCGTCAACAAGATCGCTGCTATAATCATAAAAAGAGGAATGAACAACATGCTTGCTAAGAGAATCAAGGTTTGACTAATTCAATAAGAATTTTTTTGTGCTATATATCTGAAATATACAATCTAACAAGTATATTTTGGACAGGACTTCCTAAATAGACTGGTTGAAGAACATGGAAGCATTGACTTGGAGTGGCTAAGAGATGTTCCCCCTGACAAAGCCAAGTAAGAAAATTATTTACAAAACTTGATGTCATACAATATATATATCCTATATATGGTTCAAAAGCATTCATGGGTGAACTAAAATGACACGTGTGACTACTAATGGTTGCAGGGAGTATCTACTAAGCATAAACGGATTAGGATTGAAAAGTGTGGAGTGTGTTAGACTTTTGTCACTACACCAGATTGCATTCCCTGTAAGTTAATGAAGAGTAATCTACCCTTAATTGAATGTGCAACAGAGATATTAACATATTTGCAAAATGCAGGTTGACACCAACGTTGGACGCATAGCTGTGAGACTAGGATGGGTTCCTTTACAGCCACTACCTGACCAGCTGCAAATGCACCTTTTAGAGCTGTAAGTAAATTCTCTAAAAGATCTTTCTTCAAAAATGAAAGGAAACATGATAAATAAGTGTAAGCCCCTTGGTCTTTTATTTTATTCAGGTACCCTGTATTGAATTCAGTTCAAAAGTATCTCTGGCCACGCCTCTGCAAGCTTGACCAAAAAACCTTGTAAGTGTTAAACCTTTCTTTTGTATAACTTCTATACCATTACTCTAGATCCCTCAACTTCTCTGAATAACTCTCTACTGTATTATACAATTCTAGGTACGAGCTGCATTACCACATGATCACATTCGGAAAGGTACCTCAAACACAAACAGATTCTCATGTGTTTCAGTTAATTTTCACAAAACTTCTTTTGTTAACGGTCTTAAACTGACTTGTCCGTTTCTACAGGTATTTTGCACCAAATTAAAACCCAATTGCAAAGCATGTCCAATGAAAGCGGAGTGCCGACACTACGCTAGTGCACAAAGGTTATACCTACAAAATGCTACGGTCACTGAATTAGTTCCAGTATATTCATTCATAGGCGCATTGAAAAATTATTATGTGCATCAACTCTAGCTTAACCAGAAAGAGATGTTGACAATTTTTCTAAGTATCGTATTTTCTTATATCGCAGGGCACGTCTTGCTCTACCAGAACCGGAAGTGAGCGATAGAACAACTGTAATGCTCTATGAGAGAAGGTATAAAAGAAATCCCTTTGTAGTTAATTTTCGGCCATCCTTATTGTTTTCTCAAGAAAACGAGCAAGAAGCGCAAAGATGCGAACCGATCATCGAAGAACCGGCATCACCAGAACCAGAATATACAATGCCAGACATTGAGGATTATCCTTGGGACAATAACAACGTTGCAATGTCTACGATCTTGGAAAATGATCCTTGGGAAGATAAGGATATAATTCCTACAATCATGCTCAACAAGGAAGCAGTTACATCAACGGATTTGGTGGTACTAAGCACACAAGCAGCAGCAATACCTACACGTAAACTCAAGATCATGGAAAAGCTACGTACAGAGCACCTTGTGTGAGTTGCCTCTTTCAAATCTGTCTTTTCATCAGGGAACTTAATCAGCATTTGTCTCATACTAATTCTCTTTTTAACTTTTATTTCCTTCTTTTATTACAGTTACGAGCTCCCTGACTACCATTCCATTCTACAAGGGGTTAGTAACTCTTGCAAGAAAATTTCTACTTCTCAAAGTCTTAAAAACTGCTTGTTTGATTAAAAAAAATTTGTTAACAGTTTGAGAGGCGAGAAGATGAGGATATAGTTCCCTATCTGTTAGCCATTTGGACTCCAGGTAAACACAAAAAGAACTGACCATGATTATTCTGTTCCAAGGATCAAACATTAAAAAGCTAGTGCTACAAATTTAAGGGTTTTCACTTTTCAGCCTTAGATGTATATAGATGATGCCTAACATGTATTTGCCATACCAGGTGAAACTGAAAATTCCATTCAACTGCCTAAACAAAGATGTGAATTCCAAGGAGACAACAGTACATTGTGTCATGAAAAGAAATGTTTCGAATGCAACAAGATACGGGAAGAGCAATCACAAATAGTGCGAGGAACTATCTTGGTAAGCTATTATTTTCAAGAGAATCTCTCTGTTAAGTAGCAAAAATATGAGGAATGACTTACTTGTTTGTGAACAGATACCTTGCAGGACAGCAATGAGAGGAGGCTTCCCACTGAATGGCACCTACTTCCAGACCAATGAGGTAAACTATTCCTAAAAAAGTGAAGCCAACTTAGACAACCTTCACAAGCAAAAGCAACATATGACTAGAAGCTAGATTTTGGCATACTTTGTGTGCAGGTTTTTGCGGACCATGGCTCTAGTATCAACCCAATTCACGTCCCAAGAGAACTGATATGGAAACTACCCCAAAGAATCGCATACTTTGGATCTTCTGTAAGCTCGATTTGTAAAGGTAAATTCCCAAAACAGAAGTGCCAACTTATGCATGAATATATAAAATCCAAGATCAGGTCTCAAAAATGCTTTTTCTAAATTTATTTAGGTTTAACAGTGGAGAATATCCGAGAGAATTTCAAGAGTGGTATGCTAAAAATGTCTTTTTAAGTTTATAGAAACCAGATTAGTATCAAACCATTGACAAGAACATGCAAATGAAATGCAGGATATGTTTGCGTGAGGGGATTCGACAGGGTGAATCGTAAGTCAAAGACTCTAGCGAAAAGACTGCACTGCACAAAGAGCAAACATAATTAGACATTGGATTCATGGGTTTTAAAGGGTATACATCAAAGGTTCATAGCTTTTTTCATCATCTTTCAGATTCTTGCAACTCTTAGGAAAAAAAAAACAATGTTTATTTTTATTTGGTTCTTTGCCATAGTTTTGGGCAATGGATGTTTGGTTTTGAACTCATCTTTCTTTTTAGTCATTTAACAGAAAAATTTGCTGCAGCAGCAATTCATATTTAATCATATCAAAATGTAGTCGTTTTTTAATCTGCATACTCACTCTCAAGCTCTAATATCATCAGCCTTCTGGTACTAGTTCCAAATCAGATTTGGTAGCAATTTGCTCCCAGGTCCATATAATGCAAACAAAATTAAGGTCGAATCCTACAGAACTAAACATCAAAACATCTAGAGGAAACCTCACATAAATAAAATAGATTACAGAGTTTAGCAAAACATACCTTCTTTTCGAATCGATGATTGCGCAGAAGCTATTGAGAGAGAGCATTATTAAAGAAACGTTTCTAAAGGAGGGAGAGAGACTTGGGGAATCGAGATTTTGCCGCCTAAGCTTTTTATTTTTTCCTTTTTTATATTATTTTCCCTTTTTTCCCTTGGATTACATATTGTTACATGATGGGCTTTATATTTGAAAGCCCAATAATAAAAAGAAGGAGGTCTAGTTTTTTACTTTCCAAAAGCGCGCGTAAACCTAGGATTGTAAAAACAGCTAAACCGTTAAATGTCATATAACTTATAACTAGGTCCGGATCCGCGCTACAGCGCGGAGGAAATAATTACATATATATAACTTTTATCGGATTAGAATATGTTACATTTTAATTTTGTTAGAGTGCAGTCGATTACGGTAAATCATATATTTGTATAATAAGTTTAAATAAAATAATAAAGGAAAAAGCGAGTAAATAATCATATAATGAGTTTTGATACAATTAAAAACACGGTGAAAATTTAACAGCACTAAATAATATTTGTCGATAAATTATTCATTTTGGCATTTTTGTAGTAAAAGTAGGAATATACGTAAAAATTACATATTGACAATATATTTTTTGAAAGTCCAACCCGTAACAGAATTCATTTCGTAAAAAACATTATTCGTAACTCGTTTTATCATTATAATTGTGATTTTAACAAACTACCCGTGAATTATCTAAAATTTACATATTTTGATATATAATATATTTTATCAATAAAAATTATGTCTCCAAAATTACATTTATATCTTCAAAAAAATATTTCGATATTTTAAATTCTAAAAGTTTTATATATATGAACCTTTTATTTATAATATTTTGAAACTATTTGAAATATTAAATATGCTCATGTAACAATGGTTTTAATATTGGTCATACTTATAATGATTTTAAACCCTTGTCCAAAATATTTAACCGAGTGTAGTTGAGTATTATATGTCCGTTTTGAAAATTTTAAATTGCAACATATGCAAAAAAAAAGTTAAATTTTTATTAAATATTTATATTATATAGTATAATATCATAAATTAAAAATAATATCAAATAAAAGTGAAAGAAGAATAATATTTTTTAAATAGATTGTATTAAATTAGTTAGAGAAATATTAGTAAATCTTATAATTAGTTATGGAAATAATACAATCCTAAAATTAGATTTGGAAAGTATCCGGTGTATGTATCCAAACCCATTAATCTATCCAATTTTAAAAGATCCAGTTACAAATTTCGGGTAATCTTTTGAAATTGACCCGACCCGGAAACACTTTTTGTACTTATCTTTTACTAATATAGGGATAAGTATGTTTTAAGATAATACAAGAACGGTTTTCAAAAAAAAAAAAAAAGATAATACAAGAACATGATACATCATAATTACAAATGACATTTTTTGCGTCCAATATTGAATATTAATATTACAAATCTATTCTTCAATTTCGGAATAATCTATTATATATATTTATTTAATAAATTTTTTTTTATCGAATATAAAATATTGAGGTTGATGATATGTCAAGTCATAGGTGGGGAGAGTAGGGGACAATCTCACCTCTTCATTGTAAAATCATACCAGTTTGGTTGTGTATGTATCATTTCATTATTTTTATTTTTTTTAAATTACTGTCTCTTCCCATCTCCTCAGTTTCTGTCCCTCAATTTGCAAACCCCATCACCAAACGTAATACTGTAACTATCATTCATTAATGTATTTATCAAAATGGGTCGATCTGATTTGAGGTTTGACCAATCACTACAGCCATTTATATAAGACTTAACAATAACAACAAAAATATTAATTTACACTCATAATTTCTGAACCAAAACTAGCATCCGATAGTTTAGTATGGTGGACGTGTGATCGATACAAGACTTTTACGTTTTATTTACCTCTAAACTAGTGGAACTTTGAAAGTTTCAAATTATGGGTGCAGTGTTAGTAACATTGGAGTGGTCCATGTAAAGTGGTCAAAAAGAAGTTAATGTGTGTAAAGACAAAAAAAATATATCAAAATCAAAATGTCGCAGTAATAATGTATGGGAAGTGTATTGACTCGTCTCTCTAAAAATTAGGAATTAAAGGCAAATAGTTACTCTGTCTCCACTCTGATCTCAAATCTCACCCTATTCTTCCTCTCTACAGGACGTCTAGCTACTACTCATGTACATATCTTCTAAAAGGATAATAGGTACGTACGTCTCTTGCTCTGGGACAATCCCAAGTTACATATTTACCTTACCTTTATGTGCATGGGTTTCTTGTATTAGTAGAATAATTAATACTAGTAGACTTCGTTACGTAATTTGTCAACTCAATCGTGTATAAACGGAATTTGGCAAGCTAATATAACCTTAACTTTAAATGAAAACATCGAGTCATGTACCGAACGAGTCGCACTTATAACTCTATAAGCATCACTTGTACGTTAACACAAGCAAGTAAATACAAATACACCAGGAGTACGTAACATAGAATATAATAGCAAAAAGGATTTCATAATTAGACAATACAAACTTTAGTTTACAAACCAATTAAATACATTATCCATTGGTCCGTAAATAATTGGTTATACTAACTTCACTTGTTATTAATTCCACATTGCGGTTAACTAGGGCTGTTCATCTTCCCTAAGTAGCCTTTATTCTTCATTTTGAGAATGGCAAAAGTTAGCTTACTGATGATTATCTTCTTTCCTTAGCTTCAAACCATAACCCTCCCACGAGTTTTGATCTCCATCTCCAACGAGCATTGGAAAGCAGTTTGTACTAGCCGCCATAGCAATGCCGCAGCTCGGGTTTCCTTCCTTGGAGTTTGAAGGTGAATAGCCTTCATGATGGCCTTGCTCAACATCGCAGCTCGGGTCTTCTTGATTGTCATATATCATCATCGTATTCTCTTTGATTCTCAGTTGATTCCCACCGTGGCTTGACCACTTCTCTTTCCTTTTCTTGCTCATTATTTTTTTCTCCATCTTGCTCTTATTTTCTTCATCAGCCATCGTTTGGTCGCTTATGTTCCCATTGATCCTCTCTGTAGGGGATGAAGAGTTCGGCCTTATCAATGCCTTCCCCGTAAGGTACTGCAAGGCCTCAATCACCGCAACATCCCGAGCTTCCATCCTCTCCCTTTCCTTTGTCCACAACGAACGTTCTTTTTCGATTCTTGCTGCTTCAACCCTTTTCCATTCCTCTTCCTTAACCATCCTTTGATGCTCTTTGTCTTCCACAGTCTTCACCAACTTCTCAAGCCAAAAATCTTGCTTCTCTATTAGCCTCTCAATATGAATACCAATGAATTCCTTGATCTTTGCCTTCCAGTTCATCCCCTCGCTTCTAGTAGATACGTTTCCTTCGGAGGAGGAACTTATATCCAACTCGGAGGATGAGTTCAAATTGTTAGAAATGCTAAGGCTTTGAGTATTATTGCTCAAGGGATTCTGATGAATATGACTGACAGCGTTGTGGTGAATGTTCGGAGCGTGAAAACTATGGAGAGCATTAGTCATTATGAACTGCGAGTTGTCATAGCAAGAAACTGAGTCTTTGGATTCGCCGTAGATGGCTTCAAGCTGCCGGAAAAATCTATAGTTTTTACCATCTTGACGTCGACCAGCTTTGCCTTCTTTTGTCTTTTTATAGTACTTGTACAGATTCTCAAACTTCTCTCTGCACTTCTTGCCACTCCTAGTGTATCCATGTTCCTCGGACATAATCCTAACAACAAAATAATGAAAAATACTCCTCTTTCATGATCCATCACTGATTTAATTAAGTTTGTATATATAATGTACCACAATCTTGAACTCTGAATCTTTTTTTTTTTTTTTTTGAAAAATTGAGAGACATAGAAACTAAAGATGGAGAGAGAGATATATAGAGAAATAAAAATAAAAATTAGGGTAAGAAATAGAGAGACCTAGAAACTTCATCCCAAAGAGGACCCTTTTGATTGGATTCTTTGAACTTGTGATCAAGACGAGATCGGACCTCCAGCAACATCAACGTCTCTTGCCTCGGCCACCTCCCTGTTCCTCCACCGTCGGTAAAGCCACTAAACCCACCACGAGCACAGCTTGTGCTCGCTACTATAGAGTTACTGTTGTTTCCAGCCACCGTAAGCCCTTGTATACCACGTGGCAAGAAACTTATCTCATGGTCGGTCAAATGAGGACGATGGTGCTGGTCCGGCGCCGACACGAGGTTGAAGCCGAAGAGATCAGATGAGAAATGAAGAGATGGTTGCGCTATACCGTACTGAACTTGGTGGTTTTGATGATGATGGTCCTCCATTTAGTCTGATTCGGTAGAAGAGAAGCGTCACGACTCACGAGTCCGAGAGTGTGTGATTGCAAAAAGGAAAAGTGAAGGTTGTTCCGAAACTTTTTTTTTACTGATCCAACGATAGAAAAAAGGTAATTTATAACCATTGGAAAGAAATAATAAATAATTAACAAAACCAAAACAATATAAAAGGTTGAATAGAGAGTGGGAGAGCGATAGGGGCGGATCGTGTCGTCCATGTAGAAGAAAAATCGAATTTAAGCTACAGTGAAGATTGGTCCCATGCATGACTTTAACCTCTTAAATCTTTAACTATGTATATTCACATGTGAGTAAAAAAGGTAAATAATATTTGTACTGAATGTTTACTTTGACATTCAGTAAATAATAGTGGAGTTCGAGATTACGTCAAAACACATATTCAAACTCGTGTTTTAATGGTGCACTAATTAGTCAAATTAAATGCAACCATTCATGGGTAAACCATACAAATTATGGCAAAATGTTAATTAATGTTTACATGAATAGAAAGTGAAATGTTTTTTTTAATAGTTATCATATGTTTTCTTTCATATATATATCGCTAAGGTGGAAAATTTGACAAGTTTTTTATTAGGTGGAAACTTTGACAAGTTTTTTATTTTTTACTTTTCATAATTTACAACAAGAAATATTTTTTTCACACTTACGTCATATATACTTTACTTTATAAGACTGATAGAGTTTGTATGTGGGAAAATATTATGGATACCAAAGTTTGATGACTTACATGATCTGTCCAATATACAATAACCAAAAAATGTTCACCGTCCACTTGATCATTTTAAACAATGTAAGGTTGGCCAGATGAAGATGATATGGTTGCTTTTGTTCTTTTACTATATCTGTTTCTATTTATATATATATATATATATATATATATATATATATATATATATATATATATCCTACTAATCTTAATGACAGTATACTACGTTTAAATAATGATGACTTTAAAAAAAAAAAAAAGTATATTACGTTTAGTTCAATCCAAATATCTTGTTATGATCAGCTGCAAACATACATTAACCAAATTAAAGGGACCATGCACATGAAAGGATGGATCAGTTTTTCACACCTGCGTACCAACTCGATCGATTTGGTATATTAAAATTCACGATCTAATATATTTAATCCATGCATCCACCAAAAAAATTCTAATTCGATTCTTTTAAATTTGAACTTTTGGAAAATCACTTACTACATATGTATGCATATATCATCATACTTTATATGAAAATAACTGTAAATTCATAGCAAAAATAATAACAAAAACTTTTTGGGGTCGAGAGAGCTCTGCTTAGTTAGTTTGATGAGGTTTAAAAAGCTATGAGAAGTTTGGAGGGAGAGAGCCAAATTCGACGGCGAGATCATATAAGGGAGGGGTAGCAGCGTGACTAAGAAGATGTACGACGAGATTCCAAAAATTTAGAGACCTAGAAAGCAAGATGCTAGACACTAATTAAGGGAAAACACTTGGTCAATATTGTAAGATGCTGCATAATTAAGCATTTCACAAAATTAAGAAACAATGTTTCATATTTGACGATTGAAAGTACGACGCAAAAATGACGTTTTGGTGATTTTTACTTTTTATATACGACAAGCAACATCGTCTTTTGGTTTAACTCATTGTTAAGATAAAAAGTTTAGTAGCTTAGGTTGAAGCTTGTGTATCGAAACCATGATTTTAGAGGATTATGTAAAGAATTTTTAGTTTTCTTGTTATCAAAAAAAAAAAAAACACTTTTTAATTCCACTTTTAATTATAGATATATAACTTAGATAATTTGGATTGTTTGTCAAAAAAAAAAAAAAAAAGATAATTTGGATTGAAATCCACTTAATATCAGACTACAAATTTTTTGGGTACAATGCGAAATATTCAATTGGGCTAAAGCCCAAAGTTAATTAGCCGATTGTCGTGTTAGTAGTCCGACCAATCGTTATCCGAAGGGAGCATGCTTTTTCGACCACATGATAAGGACTTGGATTTTTACCTAGTTGATTTTTACCACATGATAAGGAATGGATAGGCGCCGAGCTAATTAGCCAATAACCTTGTTATGTGGTCTCTAATTAGGATTAGGATTTATGATTAAGATTTTCTTCCTAACTTGAAAGGATAGGTTAGACATACATTGTCCTTATCCTTTATATAACACCTTCTTCACACAAGCTTAGTCCACTACACAAATATCTTTTAGCTTAAACTTTGAGTTCGTTCCCTTTCAATAGCTTTAATTTTGAGAGATGGCTATTAGGATCCCTGTGACGACGAGATTTGAGGTTACATATATCCTATTTGTACTACTAGTATATAGTTTTAAGAAAAAAGAATTTCTTAACACCCTTTGGTTAATTATTTGCAGGGAAGGTCATATGCTCTAATTTTTTGCTGGCTTTTTGGGAGCGGTTGTTCTTTAGCATGGAACAACATGCTCACGATCGCGAGCTATTATGCTTATTTGTTTCCCCTAAGTGCAATACAATTTTATTTTTCCCAAAAGATATATGTTTATAATAAGAGCTGGTAACTTACCGCGACTTGATTTGTTTTTTTTTCCGTAACTTCCTAGCGGTATCATCCATCAAGAATCCCTACAATCATTTACCAATCATTTGCCATCGGAGCACTTAGTGTTCTTGTTTACAAAGAGGCAAGTCTCAATACCAGACGTCGAAATTTGTTTGGATACGGTCTCTTTTCCCTCGGCTCTCTTGCTATCCTAGTGGTGAGTTACACTCTTCCAATGTTTTTTTAATGATTTTAATTTTTACTAAAATCAAAGCTTGATGCATGATTAACATTTACTCATTACAATACTCTTGTTGATATTAACTTATCTTAAACATTGATATGAGACAGTTAGATTTAGCTACTTCGGGAAGAGGAGGGATTGGATCTTTCATTGGAGTATGCATCATTAGTGCGGTATTTGGTCTAGCTGATGCACATGTTCTAGGTGGAATGATTGGAGATCTGTCTTTGATGGCACCAGAGTTTGTTCAGGTAATTACAACACTTTTGATTGTTTTTAATTTGTTTAACTTTACATATCTTCTACCAAGAAAAAAATTACAATTAGTTTTAGGTATTGTAGAGAAATTTATTTTGTGTATGGTAAACATAATAATATCTCTTTGTACTAATATTATACATTTGCACTTTACAAATGCATTTATTTAAAATAATGAAAACATTTTATTTCTTTAATATGTGTATCCCATTGGCTCAAAATGTAGTCTTTTGAGTTTTGTTAATGTTTTGGCCATCGATGTCAGTCGTTTCTAGCTGGCTTAGCTGCTTCGGGAGCACTTACCTCTGGATTGAGGCTGGTCACAAAAGTAGCATTCAAAGACTCTAGGAATGGCCTTCGCAAGGAAGCTAGTAAGTTTATATCTATATTCTTTAAAAATACATGTTACATACGTCAATTTCGTAAGTATTTAAATCCGATGATTAATTATAACATTGTTTGTCAAAATGTCAGTGTTGTTTTTTGCAATCTCCGTCATTTTTGAGTTGCTATGCGTCATTTTATATGCGTATGTTTTCCCGAAGCTAGTCATCGTAAAATTCTACCGTGCACAAGCTGTAGCTCAAGGGTCCAAAACTGTATCAGCGGACCTTGTAGCTGGAGGCATACAAGAGTTACCAACAAGACAGGTACATTATTGTCAATTTATTGTGGGACGACAAATCATAACCAAAAGAATCAAATACTTTGTAATGTTTAAACGAAAATCAAAATAAATTATTTATAAGCTGATTAGTATAATTATGTATGAGGTTATAATTATATTTGGCTAAAAACCTATATTTGAATGCAGGCAGAGGAAGAACCAATAATATTAGATCATCGGTTCAGCAACAAAGTCTTATTTTTACTGAACATAGATTATGGAATCAGCTTATTTTTGGTATATCTATTGACATTTAGCATTTTCCCGGGTGTTCTGTCTAAGGACAGTGGAAAACACAGTTTAGGAGACTGGTAAGACCAAAATGTTTACTTACTATGACATCTTTTGTTTTGGAAAATGTAGTAATTAAGAACAATGGTATGAAACAGGTATCCTCTAATGTTGATAGCAGTGTTCAACGTCTCGGATTTAGTTGGAAGATACGTTCCCTTGGTCAAGAAGTTGAAGATGGAGTTGGGAATAGGTCTCATGATAACATCGTTTGCACGTTTCTTGTTGGTTCCAGCTTTCTATTACACAGCCAGATATGGAAACCAAGGCTGGATGATTTTCTTGACCTCGGTTTTGGGATCAAGCAATGGATACTTGACTGTTTGTATTTTAACAGTAGCACCAATGGGTTACTCGGTATATTCCAGCCCCCCCCCCCCCCCCCTCCCCCGCTTGTTTTTTGCTTTTCTTAAAGATGATAATGATGATAATACTTATACAAATTATGGAACTTGGTTTAGGCACCGGAGCGAAATGGGCTAGGAAACATATTGGTGTTATGTTTGTCTGGAGGGATGTTTGCAGGAGTCATGTGTGATTGGCTTTGGTTTATTGGTAAAGGTTGGTAAATGTTGTTGCCTACCCGTTGAAGGAATGGTTTGGTTTGGTTTCCTGATAATAAATGTAATCTCTAAAGTCTCGAAGATAAGTAGAGACCTGCCATTTTCATGTAGGACATTTATCTCTTTTAATAATAAAGTTCATTGAACGTTATCTTTTGATAAGTAGAATCATATCCAGACATTATTACTAAACAAACAAACTATTAAACCGAAAAAGAGATCAAGATCAATGCAATTTAACTTCAGTTTTTCTTTTTTTCCATCACTGTATCCATATGTCCAAAAGGCCTTTCTGAGAAAGTTAAAATCCATGGCAAATGGATATTTCTTCGTTTGCTTTTTTTTCTTCATTGTGCCCAATCGAAGACAAATGTGTCATACTGCAATTGCTTTATTTGGTTAATAGAGATTGGATCTAGTGGGCCTAATAACCATTAGAATTATAGGTCTTAATTAACAACAATAAACGTAACGTATCCAGTCCATACCACATTATTTGTAAATTGAGAAATAATGTGGGTTTTACAGAAATGCTCTTGATTCCCTGAGATGTCCAAACCATGATGAGCCTCATAGAGACAAAATCAAAAAGTGTTGAAGAAAAACAAAATTATATTTGTTTTCTTAGATAATAATGTAGTGTGACTGTGTGAGTGATGCTGTTGTATACCACTCAAATAGAAACACGCACTATAGCAAAAGGACTCTTTTTACACTTGTTTAGTTGTTTACTTATTAAGAGAAAAAAAAACTCTTAAATCTTATTCAGAAAACAGAATAATTTTAGAATGTGTACATTTTCAAGAGTTGTCCTCACTATTATTATTAGGATCTCTGTTTTATCTATAAACATTATATTATAGTGTATCTTGTAAGTAATATAATACTCCAAATTAATAAAACATGGGATTATTACAAATTTGGAACTATTTATGCCACATGAATAATCACTGGGGATGCTAATCAAATGGAATAAAAGGCTGCAGAAAATGAATGATTATTCTTATTTTCACTTCTTCTATGATGTTGTTATCTGTGTCTCCCATTGTAATAGCCACATCATAGTATCATAGATCATTTCGTGTCTCATTGATGCACCCTCCCTAGAATAATGAAAACCCATTAAAACGCCTGGTTTATGATTTGTAGTAATATATATAGAATTTGTACGTTTAGTAAATATTATACAAATAAATGTTTTTTTGTCTTCAGAAACATATCATTTTTCTCTAACGGTCATTTGGGAATAGAACCAAATTGGGGAAAGGACAACAGTGATCACGTATGATCCGCCTGATGCCCATCTTTAATCTTTTTCATCTTAACGTACCGTTATAGCAGCAATCTTGTCATTTTTTCTCTTAATCTTTCTACTTTCCCATCAAATAGATTAAAAGTAAAACCAATCAAAAAGAAATAATAAAGAGAAAAGAAATAAAAATAAAGAAGTGTTTAGTTACAAACCTGTCTTGATGAGTATTTTTTTTGAAGTTACTTCCTAAGAAAAACATTACCCTTATAAATTCTCCAAGAAACCCTAACAATGATAATAATAGTAGTAATATAACACACGACGATTATAAAATATAAATTACATTCACCACCACCAAACCTAAAAGTAGAGTTAAAACACTCAGAGAATGATCTCTGTCCCAAGAAGTTTTTCTTCTCTCTTGGATTCAAAGTCAGTGTATGGAATCTATGTTCTTGCTCAGCTCTTCCAGCTTCTTCATTCTCATCTTTTCGCTTTCTCCCACCAACTGCGCATCATTCAAAATTGAAAAGTTGTTAAGTCAAGAACACATATCTAAGTGAAGATAATCGACACAGAACAGAGTGCCACTGGCTTGAAGAGTATGTTCGGTTTACAGACAAGATATTTTAGAAAACGGTAAGAACGATCCATGTAAACTCACAAATACCAGACCGGTCGAAGAACTCAACACCAAAACCCTAAGGATTAAACACTGAATCCGCAAGATCATGAATATGCCTAAAACTATCGGTGTTTGATGCATGTCTTAGAACAGAGCAAGGGGACAATAGTTAGCTTAATGTTTAGCCACACAAGCATGATCATGGGAAAAAATAACCGACAATACAGAACCAGAAACCAGAGAAACACAGAAGAACAACTAGACCAGTTAAACCCAATCATTCAAACCGATCCAAAATGTGAAAGAAAAGAGGTTTGAGCATTTTGTTGACGACTAACCTCCATTAGCTTGGTGATAAGCTGCACCTTCTCCCTATTCTTATCGTTGAATGCTTCAAGAGCTTCTTTGTACTCTCGTTCCTGCACGTTGTGTAAATATACCAGCTTAGCATCTGAGACCTCAACCAAACATATATATGTTGAATACAAGTCAATGGGATTTTGAATATGTTTTGGCCTTACCTTTTTCTGAACCGTATGGCCCAATGGCTTTAATTCTTTGTTGACAGAATCAATCTTCTTCCTGACCAAAGCAACTTCTTTCCTCATGGGATCAGCTAAACCTTCAAGTTCCTGAAATGCAATTTAACCACTGATCATCTTAGTCAACGATATAACATCACCCAGAAGAAGCAAGTGCTTATTTTCAAAGAAAAAAAAGGAAAGATCTTTCCAATCTCTATCAGGGAAAGTGGGTTTTACAAATCTGTGTTACAAAATGTATAAACTTTCACTGTTGTGTATGTCATAAATTGGGAAAAAACTAAGGCTAGGTCCAGATTCATACAACATAACCCAGAAGAAACAAATGGTTCTTTTCACATAAAACTGAATCCACATAGCTTATTTATAGCAAATGGGTTCCACTAGAAATCTAGAAACTTTCACTGTTTATCCTGTGACCCAGCAAATGAAAAACCCTAGAGCCAAAGTGAATCCAGCTTTTCTTGCCATTGATCACTTATTAAGATCCTAAATCCAAACACCAAAAGCCCCAAAATTCGCTCTGCCTAGGGTACAAACCACACCCAAAAAAAAAACGAAGGAAAATAATAATTTTAACTTGAATGCAATTGTCAGATCTTGAAAACTCCAACACTTGGGTCCTACAATTTCCCCTTAAACATGAATTAAATCCACATTTTATACAATTATATAAACCCACAAATGTTCAATTTCGTCTCCCAAACTAAAATTTTCAATAACAAACAAACAAAAAAAAACCAAAATTGAAGCACAATTCTCCAAAAAAAAAAACAGTTTTTAATGATGAAATGATGAAAAAAGAAGTACCTCACGGATCAAAGCAAGACGCTTAGTCTCTTCTTCAACACGACCAAGCTGGGCTTGAACCCTTTCCCTAATCTCCATTTTCTTCTTCTCGATCTCTTCTTCTTTGGCCCTGAAGGCAGACAACGCAGTCCTAGACATCTCCTCGTCTTCCTTGGACATTTGGCTGCTGAAACTCATACTTCCCGACAACTGAGCTCCCAACTGTCGGCTATGCACCGCCGGAGCCACCGTCGTCGGCTGCGACGTCTCTATTGCTTGCATCTCCTTCATATTCACTGAAATCCCCCGCCCTTTCTCTCTCTCGTTATCGATCTCTCTTCCTCTCTGTCTCTCTCTCTCTCTCTAGCTCTGTCTGGTTCTAGATTCTTCTGTGGTAGAGAAAAATGAGCTAAACTGAGCTTTTCTTTTTGAGCCCAGAAATAATGCTCTGATATGAGCATATATACATAAAAAGATAATTATTATATTTTATTATTTGTATAACGGGAACTTTTAATATATTAAAATATTATATTGAACTTATTAATAATATATATATTAAAAAAAAAGGAGATAACAACATAACAGGCCAAAAAAAAGTTATTAGGTGAAATTACGTAACTGCCACCAACAACCGATAGAGGATTTTATTGATTTTGTTTTTTATTTATAAATTTTGTTATAAGAAAAAAGGAAGGAGAATCTCTGATTATTGTAACCGTTGGATCTTTTTTTTGTTATCCGATGAAGGAAGCAAAACCCGGAGGACAGCTCTCTCGTCAGCTGTCGCGTCTTAAACCGTAATATTACCGAACCAAACTAAACCACTTTCTTTATTCTGGTTAACACCATTGGTCCAATTACGACCAAATCTAGATCATTAATTTCGTAAGCTAAACCCTAAATTGTTTCTACTGATGAGAGCATGCGTCATGCTATTTATTTAGTTATTTTCATTTTATCCTCATTTCTTTTAAAACCACATTTATATTTCTTTTTGACCCTTAAAAAACAAACTATGATACTATAATTGATCTTCTTTTTTTTTTGGTATCATCAATCGGTAAGTCAAATAACAAACGTATATACATACGAGAGAATATATCTCAATAGAGATATATCCAATATGCTTATAAATAACAGAAAAATCAAATAGGTTTTGTAAAACAAGGACCGAAACATATATAGATGGTCAAAATTTTGTACATAATTAACGTTGTGCTAATTAATTTGCATTATTCTCTTTGGAAAAAAGGGGGAAAAAAAGTTAGTAATAAGGAAAAAGAGAGAGGAGAAACGTGAAAATGAAGGCAAAGAGCAGTGTAGCCTCTCTCTCTCTCTATCTCTGCCAACGGCTTCAACTACGGGCCTTCGAAGCAAGAATCCTTCTTTCTTTCTTTTTTCTTCACTCTTTTTCCTTTTTTCTCTTAATGGAATTTGCTTTTATGTCAATGTATACTACTATATAAAATTATTCCTCTAAGCTTAGCCCATCATATCAACTCGATATATAAATTAATGATACTCACATTCTTTTAAAAATTGGTAGGGTTTTAAAATCTTGTCCTCATTAGCCAATTTGAATTCTGTTGTTTGTCCCACAAATTAATAGGACAAAGTTGTGTTATTAGTTAGTATCCAAGATTTCAGTTGTTAAGAATTAATGAATCAACTTTTTTTTTTTTTGCAAGGCTTTGTTGTGTTTATTTAGAGTTAGAAAGATAGCTTACCTACTTGTAATTGACATAAAACCATAACCCTATATAATATATTGTTTCACAATGTCTTTATATAGTCTAATAACCAAATCATGTTTTTAGTTTAGTTTATACGGTTTGGTTAATTGAGCTTGATCTGATGAAGTTTTAAAGTTGATATCAAACTGAGCTAATATTGTCAGTTTGTTTGTGACTTCGTTTTTGGAATTAATAAACTTGGGTTGAAGCAAGCAAATGCCAAATCGTTATTAATTATTAATATGATGCAAAAAGCAAAACAAAAATGGTAGATTAGATGTAGGGTGAGGATTGAGAAGACCAAAGACATAGACAAATTAAGGAGTGAGTGATCCTTAGTCGACGTGTGCCCCTCTGCCTCAAAGGACCCACGCCGCCGGTGTTTTTGTGTTATCGCGTGCATCAGATTATCATTTGCCACCCATATGCTTTTTCTTTATATATTCTTTTTTGGATCCCAACTTGTTCTTGTTTTGTAAGTAAATTATAGTACTATATTAAAGAGAAAGAAAAATTGTAACATTCTGATTTCTGAACCAATCTGAATTTCGTTTCGTGTGCATGTGTTCAAATTAGCGAAACAAAACTTATATCGGATAGTAGTGTGTTGAAAGCGTTTGGAAACCCATCGAATACGTCTTATTACATGCTTACACTATTAAAACTTTTATACGTACTACTTGTGCCATTTGTTTTTTATATTGATTCTTGATTTGAATAATCTTAATGGTGATGATTATGAACGTGATTGAGGAAGAGAGGATATCGACTTTATACCTAATTGCCAGCATCAGCACTTAATTAGGATTTGATGGTCTAATGAAGAATGATTTGCTGTCTCTGATCAAAACCTCATATTTTCCATTAAAATCAACAATATGTCTTATGTATGTCTCCCTGTCCATGCCAGATGGTTCTTTTATTTATAACGAGTATATTATTACGAGTAGTTAATTGTAATTATTACGGGATCGTTGTACTTTGTTACGCAATAATCTTCATTAGTTAATGATTTTACAATACTATTAATTATGCCGTAGCAACGTTATTGTTTTTGGCTGAAAGGTACATTATTTATGTACTAATTAGAACATTGCAAAGGAAACAAATGTATATACATACAACTCCAACGGTGGTTTAATACTTAATAGCTAGGGACCAGAATCTTTGGGGATGTCAGTTGGATTAGCGTAACTGCCAAATACACAAAGATATTCGTCCCTTCTTTCTTCTTCGTCCATATGATCAGCACGTCATTGTTTTGTTTATTTTTCTTCGTTAATTACGATGATAGTTAATTAATCATATATATATGGAGATGCATATATATATATATTTATGATAATACTAACAATACTGTTATTTAACAACTAATTTCAGTGAATAAGATAGCCTTTATATATGTTGGTCAACAACTCAATATCATTGATCAACTTATACTGCTCATATATATATATATATTGGTTGCCACAAAAGAATAGTAATAATTATTTGGATTAATAACTCCGACGACTTGATGCAGTTGACAATTTTTTTTTTTTCTTTTTGTACGTTTCACTATAAAAGTTCGGTTTTTCTAGGATTTCGAATTGACTATACTGAGAAATTAACAGTTTATGATCAGTTTAGACCGACTATATATATATTTAGCACAAGTCATTAGTTTTATCTGAAGCTAGGTTTCCATAAACTCAAATGAACGTAGCTTTCTATTTATGTCAAAATTAAATATGAAAATATATACTATACTTTGTTTTGACAAAAACAAATAATAGTCAACGAAACAAATGATCTAGAATCTAGTCTAGAATCTAGATATGCTGTCTGAAAATTCTCTGCTTCGTACCTAAAAAGACTCTGCACATAATATTGTCGTAACTCGTGAATCGTGTGATTAGGGGATTCTCGTGTCAAATTATTTTGTTAAATATATTTAAATGATATATATATATATATATGTACATACACATTCCTTCAGCTGAACTACTAGATTCTGTGTCAACAACCATATTTTAACTGAGGTATATATACACAATCCAGCAAAAAAAATGGTCCAATTCCCACGTTACATAATAACAAAAAAAACAACTTGTATATCTTCTAAAGATCATAGAAAATAAAGTTATTAATTTTGTAGAGCTGGATGTTGCCATTCTGTTTCATGATACAATCAGAATGTATTCGGAAAAAGAAAAATGATTGGTTAATCTTGAGAACAAAATTGAGTTGGATTTTTGGTTATCCGCTGAGGCTTGCGGGAAATGATCGTAAACCAAAAAAGGATTCACGTGAAGCAACCGAAGTAAACACAGCTGTCGTTATTGTTTATAGAGAAAATCAAGTAAGCATGTGTTTGCACATTTCTGACAACTCCTTTTCTTATCTGTCCTTTTTCTCCTTTTTCATCGGTCCCATTTTTATTTCTCAATAGTATTGCTCCTTTCCTAATTAATGGATCCAACTCCAAGTGTGTGTGTGTGTAAAGAAGGAAAAGTTTCGGTTCATCATGTTAATAGAGTGTACGCGCTAGTCTTAGCCAGCTTCATAGATCTGGGCTTACTGGATTTGCCAAGGCTTTAAGTCTGGAAATAAGAGTTGAGCTGTCATAGGCCCATTTATTTCTCTTTCTAAAAGCAAAGAACTGAGTGTAGTGCTAACGCTACAAGCCTACAACAATTATTTTGAAATGACAATTTACTGGATAGATGAATTAACTTAACTAGAAAGATTATCTGTGTCGCGGATAATCTTCTTGGAAGGGAGAACAATTGCTGCCACGGGTTTATCCGGGTATCCACCACCTTCATCGATGATCAGTCTCAGACCATCGATGTGAAGCTTCCCATGGTGCCCACTAACAACAACAGTATGTTTATCATCCAGCTCCTGAAGAATGTTTCAGATTTTAAAAGAGATTTCAAAACTGAGGCAAAAACTTTACAAAAATTTTGGCTCATTCAGTGGCTTACCTGTGGGATGTCCCAAACATTTTTCCGACCACTTAGATGTTGTACTTTGGAAATGCTTGTGTCTTTAGCTCTCAAGAGCTTTAGTTGTTCTTCTACATTATCCCCTTTCTCTAAACCAGCATGTACGGCAATCAACTTACAATGCTTAAGCCCATCCTCTGTTTCTATACAAACATCATCCTGCAATAGAATTTACCAAATGGATTGTTACTACTATAAACTTTCAAACGATTATGCTTATACCTGCTATAACATACATTGCTGTAACTTTCTAATTGGTTGCACGAGATATATTGGTAAGTCCACAGTTGAGTTTTTATGCTTTTATAACCATTCGAAATCCGTTCCTACAAACATCATGGTATAAATATGGTAGGAGAAAAGAGCCATTACCTCTTCATGGACCCATACCATATTGGTCAAGAAATTCTTGTGACTCTCTGGCACTGCCTTCATCAAATCTACCAAGAAATAAAACATACAAGTTTCACTACCAATACCAAAGAGATCCCAAAACAGTTTCAAAATGCCATAGATTCACCAGCAGATAGGTGAGAATCACAAGAACATGTAAACTCCAAACCGAGAAAGATCCAATTTTTAGCCAACCAAATTGCTCTATATTGAAATGTAAAGAGATCTAATCATAGCCAGACCACCAAATTCACAAAGATACTTGAGATGAAACCACTATTTATAAACTATAACTAGCTAGAAGAAGGTGTAGCAGAGAATTGTAATGTGTACAGATTCAATCACTGCTTAATCACCAAAACTCAAAATAACCTTTCAAGCAATAGCTTAATCAGAGACTATGAAGAACCAAGACGACACTGATTGAGAATTATACCAGAAGATCCATGAGGAACACCATAAGATTCGAAAGTCGATCCAGCATCGTAAATAGATCCCTTATAAGGCATCCCTTTCACAGAATTGAATTGAGCCTTAATTTTACCAGCCCATCTCCGACCTTGGAGATGCATATCCTCGAACCCTTCACCTCGGTACCATCCTTCTCTCTCCTCGCTACCGGCGTACTCCTTCCACGTATCCTTCAAATCAGACCCATCTGAAGGACGGGGCAGCAAACCCAAGAATCCAGAGAAGGCGAAGTCATGGTTACCGGCGAGAAAGACGTGAGTTTGATCGGGATGTTTCTCCGGCAGAGAGATTAAAAAGTCGATGACTTTCCGGGTCTCGGGTCCACGATCACAGTAATCGCCGAGGAATATGACAAGAGCTGTGTTGAAATCTGATGGGTCGACGGCAGATTGAAGATTAAGCCAGAGGTTACTGAGCTTCGAGATGTATCCATGGATGTCTCCGACGCAGATCACCGTTCGTGGTTTTTGCGCCATTAGTCTCTGTTCTTTGAGAATTGAAATGATAATGTATTAGTGGGCTCTATGGGCCTTTGGTTTATATATATGTTTCAAAATAATAATCTTGTCTTTGGTCGTCTATTATTCAGGTGGTTCATACATAAGCTAACAACATGCACAATTTCAATCTTTAACTCACTGAATTATTGAGAGGAATACATGTAAACGTAATTCTCTATTGATTAATGAATATAACAAGATAGTTAATTGGAGATATCATCGGTGTCACGGATAATCTTCTTAGAAGGAAGAGCAATTGCAGCCAAAGGTTTATCAGCATATCCACCGCCTTCATCGATGATCAGTCTCAAGCCATCGATATAAAGTTTCCCGTGGTGGCCGCTGACAACAATAGTCTGTTTATCATCCAGTTCCTGAAGAATGTTTCGGAGAAAACAACATTATACAAAGAGATTTCAAAACTGAGCAATATCTTAATTAATACAAGTTTGGTTCTTCAGATGTGTTCACCTGTGGGATGTCCCAAACGGTTTTCCGACCAACTAGAGGTTGTATCCTTGGGATGCTTGTGTCTTTAGCTCTCAATAATTCGAGCTGTTCTTCCACGTTATTCCCTTTCTCTAAACCAGCATGTACGGCGATCAACTTACAATGCTTAAGCCCTTCTTCTGTTTCTATACAAACATCATCCTGCAATAGTATTTACCAAATATGGACACATGAACACTATGACTACACATGCAATTTTTCCCGCGTGTGAAGCTTATACCCGCTAAGAGCTTTTACCTCTTCATGGACCCATACCATATTGGTCAAGAAGTTCTTGTGACTCTCCGGTACAGCATACATCAAATCTATAAAGTAAAAATAAATGATTTTAGGAAAACGAACAAGTTTCAAAATCAAATATACAGAACGCTCCCATAGAGTTTTAAAATGTCATGATTTCACCAACACAAAGATGAGGACATGGAAACTAAACCAAAGATCCAATCATTGTCTAATCACCAAATTCAGAGTATATATATATCGTTTGAAGTAAATTCACAGTTTCCGCCACATGCAAACAACTATGTATTTAAAACTCTAAGTCTATAACCATAGAAAAGAGTCAATAGAGAATTAATTATACCAGAAGATCCATGAGGAACCCCATAGGATTCAAAAGTCGACGCAGCATCGTATATGGATCCATTATACACCACCCCATACGCTGAATAATCGAACTGAACCCTAATATTGCCCGCCCATCTCCTACTTTTGAGATGCATATCCTCGAACCCTTCACCTTTATACCACCCTTCTCTCTCCTCACTCTTAGAGTACTCTTTCCACGTTTCCTCGAAACCAGACCCATCTAAAGGACGAGGTAGCAAACCCAAGAACCCAGCAAAAGCGAAGTCGTGGTTCCCGGCCAGAAATACATGCGTCTGATTAGGATGTTTCTCGGGCAGAGAGATCAAGAAGTCGATGACTTTTCGAGTCTCCGGTCCACGATCGCAGTAGTCGCCGAGGAATATGACGAGTGCTGAGCTGAAATCTGACTTAAGAGCCGATTGAAGATTAAGCCAGAGTTTACTGAGCATCGAGATGTTTCCATGGATGTCTCCGACGCAGATCACAGTTCGTGGTTTTTGGGACATCATTAGTCTTGTCTTTGTTTCTTGTGATGCAATCAATCCTGTGCTCGACTCAAACATTGTCAACAAAAGTCAACTGTTTCGACGGTTCTGTTTTCACATGTAAGTCATCTTAGCCGTCAAAATATCCACGTGTAACAGATCGTACGGTTTAAAGTCCTTTGACAGTTCGCTTTCCTCGATCTATTTAATGATTACTAAATTGACTTTTTCTTTTTTTTGGGTATTCATTAATAAAAAGGACTAATTAAAGGTGGTGTCAAGGATCATTATTCATTCACGTTACTACTACTAAAGCATCATGTTAAACTCGTTGAGCATTCGGTTTTTCACGTCAACACGTTTTTGATATTTGTTGTGCTTGTGGAGTTTTATGAGCAAAAAAAAAACGAAACGCGGATGATACATGTGTATGGTACATGCATGCGTAACTAACATAAAAAGTTTAACAAGATACATCATGCCATCTCTGAGAAAATTCCTAATTGTATATTATCTCAAATTTTTAAATCATTCAATCATTTAGTGGTTCAAAGCTAATATGTTTTTGGTAGTATAAAGCGTATGTTTATATTTGTGGTTGGCTACTTTTGCATTATTAGCCTCAGCGTAGTGGAAAGTTGAAACATCAGAAAGAGTCAAATGACATTATTAGCATTGATTAGTCGAGACCGGTCTGGTTAAGAGCATACGCAAAGGGACAAATTTTGCGAGGTTAAGTAAACAAAACTTATAAAAGAGCATAATTTTATTTTATTTTGGCTTGGGGTATCTGAAATCATTGGAACTCCCTGAGTCATGATCCCTCTAGCTTCAATTCACCTCTCCAATTTATTAACTTCTCTTAAGTTTTCCGGTTTAATCAAACACAGTACGTAAAGATATTTATGTAAAAATTAAATATAACATTATTAGACGAAATGTGGCATGGTATAATTGGAAAAAGACGGTGACGTGCATATTAGACGGCCAGTAATATTCATGATTATGAATTTTCATAATTACGTATATCGATCTCCTTCTTAATTAACTAGGCACGCAATTCCATTCACATGCTAAATGATATGTTCTTTTTAAAGGACTCTTCACCAAACGCTACTTACTTACAAATTTATTACTCCATATACATCATCTTTTCCCCTTTGCGGTATTGTTCTTAATCACAAATCTCTTCAGTCATTAATTAAAACCCAATTCATTCCCCCTTATTCCTTCCTTAACCGAACTCGTGAGTTGGCAAGCATATATAAATGTTATTAATGGTATGTATATTTTAATTGTTCCTTTTACTTCATGTAATGTGTCCTTTCTTTCTCTTCACGTAATTATTCACACGGTAGCTCTCTCTTCTCTCTTTATATATATATAAACGCACAAGCAACACCATCGATCATAAACAAGAAAGAAAGAGAGAGAGAGAGAGATGGGAAAGGTGAGTTGGCTTCTTAACTTACTTAATCATGCCAACAAGCAAGAAAGTGTTGAGACTCTCGACAAAAACGGTGTCTTAATGGCCTCAAGCAGTGGATTCAAGATGCCTTTGCATTACCCAAGATACACAAAGGAGGACTACAAGGAGATGGAAGAGTGGAGATTGGATCTGCTTCTTTCGGACTACGGACTTCTTGCCTTCCATGACAATACCCTCCATGAGAAGCGAGCTTTTGCTATGGAAACTTTTTTGTGGCTTCATCACCCGTAATTTCATCTCTTATATTTATCTTCTTTTACATTACGTAAGAGTACTAATGGAGATTGTAGTGATACGGGAGCCGAAGACATGAAAGAAACCGCCATCAGTCTATACCCAAAATATGTCACAAGAAGATTTCAACGTATCTTTAAGTTCTCACTACTTTTATGTTGTGTATATAAGCTTAGCTTTGGATTTTGCATATATGAATCTTCAATTCAATAAAATATAGTTTTACCGCTTGTCATTGTAACAAGAAAGCTCATTTAGCATGATTCATCTGCATCTCCACCCCTAATCTCTCTTGGCTAGTCAGTCTCTTTGTTCTCGCCATTATGGTAGTCCCTTGTCCGTGTGAATTGGAGTACTTCTTCCAAACCATCACCGAGGAAGCAAGTTTTAAAAGTAACATCACAATGAAAAATAAACATTTAAAAATTGTTTTTTTAGGATTTGGCTAAGCACAGTTTTTCTTTCTTCATTTTACATTTAAATATTGGTAGTGAGCAGCGAAAATGTTGCTTGCAATTATTTCAACTTTGTAATAATGCTCACGAACTTATCCCACTAAAAGTAGTCATATATACCTACACCAAATAATGTGCCTAAATAAAGTAATTATATACAATACTATAGTATTAAAGATCATTGAGATTTGAGCTAATGACGCCAATGAAATTGAGATTTGAGCTAATAACGCCAATGAAAATTTTAATTTATAGTATTCAATATCTGACACTCTAAATCTGAAAAGATATGATTAACTACATAATAGTATTCAATATAAAGTTTGTACCAACCAAATAGCAGACACGTTTTTATAACAAATAATTTTTGATTTTTTAAGAGTAAAATAACTTATTTTTGTTCGTCGTTATAGGAGACGACTGACAATTCGAACGTGATATATACATTTTTTCATGTGAGTTAGCCAGCAGGTCGTCTCTTCCGGATTATAAATTTATAATAACTAATATTAGGAACGTTAAAGGTGTGGATGATACAATATAATAGTCTAGTTTCTTTTCCAATATATATGATTATTATATATATCATCCACTAATACATAATAATCATATGAAATTAATCAACATGGCTTAAACAAGTGGAGTCAGATTAGTCCAATACCGACACCTAGACTGGAGAGCCTCATCCGTCTCCCCACTCCACTATATATAAAAGGTCTCGAGTCACTTTCCCATTAACATATATACCAAACAAAGAAACTGAGAAAGAAGTTTTTATTCATCAATGGCGGAAGAGAAGAGCTACAAGTACGTGATCATTGGAGGTGGCGTTGCCGGCGTAAGTACAATTGATTGCTTTTCTCCATTTATTTTTTGTTAACAGCATATACACAACACAAGTTAACAGCATAACACAAATACAAAAGAGTAGATTATATGTCTTAGTCCAACATATTTTTTTCTTTTAAAACTTCTAAGAGGTTTTTCACCTAGATCTGTACATCATTTCAAGCCTTGTACTAGAGCATTTTATTTTTATTTACTTGATCGCATTGTTTATACTTTGCATTGACTTTTTTTTTTTTTTTTTTTTTGGCATTTGGGAATAACAGGGTTATGCGGCGAGAGAGTTTAAGAAGCAGGGTCTAAAGCCTGGTGAACTAGCAATCATTTCCAGGGAAGCTGTACGTTTTTCACTCTTATGAGTGTCTAGTCTGAAAACTGATTTTTGAAGTAGTCCATATATAACCATGTTTTGTTTGGTGTGTTTTCAAAATAGGTGTCTCCTTTTGAGCGTCCTGAACTGACCAAGGTATATATCGACCTCTCAGGTAAAACCTTTTAACATACATCTCTGTCGTCAATAGATAACTTTGATTTGCTACAACGTTTTGTTTAACTTGGATCACCATTACAGTCAACCCGACCCTTGCGAGTATCTATTGCTGTGCTGGAACTGGAGAAGAGAAGCAGTACCCTCATTGGTACAAACAGAATGGTAATCTTTTGGGTTTTTTCTCCAAGAAATCTTGGTGATTAATTTCACTCTCGCAATGTTTCTGAGTTTTTATTTATTTTATTTTACAGGGATTGATCTAATTGTAAGCACAGAGATAGTCAAAGCAGATCTTGCTTCCAAGACACTTGTTAGTGATGATGGAACAATTTACAAGTACCAAACTTTGCTAATTGCTACCGGTTCTACTGTGAGCACAATACTTTTGATCTCTTCCATTTTCTCTCTTTCTCTTTTTTTACGTTCTGTAAGTTCCTGTCGTGACTTATCTCAAGAAAATCTAATGGTATTTTGCAGTGCATAAGATTGGCAGAACATGGCATCCCAGAAGCAGATGTTAAGAATATATTCTACCTAAGAGAAATCGATGATAATGATGAGCTTTCGTTAGCTATGGAACTATATGTGCAAAAGGGACAGGCCGTGGTCATTGGCGGCGGTTTCTTATCCCTTGAGATGAGTTCTTCTCTAAAGGCTAATAACCATGAAGTGACTATGGTTTTTCCAGAACCTTGGATTCGTAAGTTTGATTCTTAACAAAAACATTGTAGCTAAATATAATTACACTGGACCTAGTAAGTTCATTTCAAGATGCTAATTAAGAGTTATGGACTCGTTTTTATTTTCCTCTGTTTTATAGTGAACCGGTTTTTCACCCCTGAGATGTCTGCATTCTATGAGGGTTACTTAATCAACAAGGGAATCAAAATCATTAAGGGAACTGCAGTCACCGGATTTAACACCAACTCGGATGGAGTGGTCACGGAGGTGAAACTAGATGACGGAACAACCCTAGATGCTAACATTGTGGTCGCCGGTGTTGGTGCTAAACCGGCCACCTCACTCTTCAAGGGCCAAATTGAAGAGCTGAATGGTGGATTAAAGGTTTGTCCATTTCTTTATATATAACAAAAGAAACAGAGCTCTTGTTAATTAACATATGAGTAGTGATTAATGTAACGATGATTCCTTATCATTATTGTAGACTGATGGGTTCTTCAAAACAAGCGTCCCTGACGTATACGCACTTGGAGATGTAGCCACATTCCCCATGAAAATGTATGGCGAGATGAGGCGTGTTGAACATGCTGACAATGCTCGCAAATCTGCTGGACATGCAGTCAAAGTAGGAGCCTTTACCAGCTTGTCTCTATAATCAAATTGTACCAAACCTCTTTTGAGCTACCTAACGACATGAACTAATGATGTGTATCTCTCTATATGTGGTTCTTTGCAGGCAATCAAAGCAGCTGAGGAAGGGAAAACTGTCCCAGATTACGATTATCTTCCCTATTTCTACTCTCGGTTTTTCGATCTCTCGTGGCAATTCTATGGGGACAACGTTGGAGAATCTGTAATGTTTGGAGATACTGACCCGAAATCTCCAAAGCCTAAGTTTGGAACGTATTGGGTTAAAGATGGGAGAGTAGTTGGAGTGTTTCTCGAAGGAGGGGCTCCAGAGGAATACAAGGCCATTGCTGAAGTAGCACGGGCGCAACCTTCCGTTGAGAGTCTTGACGTGTTATCCAAGGAAGGTCTTTCTTTCGCCACCAAGTTTTATAGCACCACTCTTTGAGACATTTGGGGTCTTGTTTGGTACAAGTCAGATTGCTGCAACAATTAATATCTCCCCTTGTCCTTTGATTTCATGTCGAGCCCCTTTTTATATTTGGGTATAATAATTTCATAATAATGTATTTTATGGTTTTATCGAATCATTGGATTTTAAGTTCTTACAATATTCGATTCATGATAGCAGTTCAGTTCCCGATGCACATGAGCACATGGCATTTTTCCATGCTTTTGATTAAACTTAATTTGAGTCGCACCAAATACAAATCATGGTTGGTGAATTTTATTTTTATAATTTGTGTCAAATATCATTCATTGAACCCAACTTAAACTTACTACCAAATCACAACACCCTATTATAATAATTTTAAGGCAATTAGTTCTCACGATATGCTTTATCGAATAATACCCCAGTCACAATCTCAATCTTCGAAACCCGAATCTCCTTCTTTATCAAAACCCATAAAAATCTATCCAACTTTTGTGTGCGTGTGTGTAGGAGTGATAAAAATTGGATCTTGGTATTGGTTACGGACATAGAACATGTGGGATTTGTCGATTTCGATGCAGAACTGATATATAAAAAAATTTGGAACGTGGTGTGTAGTTTTCTATGTTGCATCTAGTCTAAATACATTGACCAGTCCTTTTCTTCTCTCTGAGTATATATATTATAGGCTTCTAAAGTCTCAACTTACCAATTTAAGAACAGCTTGTGATTTAACATGATCATAAAACAGAATATTAAAAATATTCTTATAACCACTGCTTTTATATATCCATGACTTCGACGACGTTCCTCATAATATGCACCATATAACCATTGAGGGCTTGACTTGAAACCCTTCTTCACTAGAAAGACTCCGATACAAAATGCATGTTAGAAAGACAATTTCCAGAGGTGAAGGACGAGGTGGAATCACAGAGACATCAAAAAGGAAAACATTATTGACGTACATCTTACTCTTAAATCCAAACGTCTTTGAGACTTTTGTGTAAAACCGAGTAAACAGATCTCCATCCTTCTTCGCTCGGATGAAAGATGTCCCAAAAGAAGGCACCCTTTGGATCTTCACAAACTTTGTACTTCTTCTCACTTTTCTCGTCCACGTTTGAACAATCGTGTTTGCTGTCAATCCCGACACAACACGGTTCCAACGGGTTCCCGAACCTCATTGCACCTGAGCGATTCACAAACCTTTATGATATGTTGATCAAAAAGGAAGAAATTACATTTTAGGTTTTTTTTTTTTTTTTGGGTTTACCCGGTTCCGATCCTTTGTTCTTGAAAACGGTCAAGAAGGCGTTGTAGTGATCAATGACGACGAAAGTGGATGGCTTGGTCTCACTGTTAAGCCTGGAGATGGCTTTGTGCAGAAAAAAGTTGTGAAGGTTCGTTGATATGTTATCTGTGGCGTTGCAACGTTGGAATGAAGTAAAGACGGTGACGCTAGGGAGGCATCCAAGTGGCTGCATTGAAGTAATCGCTATCTTCTTCACTCCTAACTTGTAGATGCGTCTCGCGTTTACCTCTATTTGATCAACGACTTGCTTTATGAATGCCGGTAACTCCTGCAAGATACAAATTTGGCTTTACTTTTGTATTTCATGTTTACGTTTACAGTTTCTAACAAAATTTATATCTTATATTATTAGACTTAGATATAGACTACATACAAGTGTGTGCTAATATTTTCATATGAAACTATGGGACTAGACAAAAATAAAATATAGTGTTTAATTACTTACGGTCAATGGGCGTTGTAGGGCTATGAATGTGCCGTAGTCGTTGCCGGCGACGCTAATGAGAGCGAGGGAGGAGGGGAGATCGGAGGGAGAGTAGATATTGCCGGCGGCGACGACACGTTGGAAATAATCAATCTGAGTTGTCATGTTTGGCAGTGGATTGTCTTTAGTCGTAAAGACTCCTGTTCCTCCGTATGCATAATTCATCCCATACGATAGCCGTTCCTTTCCCGCGTAACCCTTCCACGTGTATGGGATCGGTGACTTTATCCCCATGTATCTTGCTGAACACACGGCCAAAAAAGATTGGTGTCAAAATTCAAAATTTATTCAAAACTTTATAACTGCTCAAAATTAATAACTCGTAACGGCAAATAATGTATAGGTTTTAAAAAAACAAAAATAAAAATATAATGTGTAGATCAAGTTTGTAAGCCATTTATTTGACCTTCAGAGAAGCTAATTTAATCAATTAAGGTAATTTCTTGATTTCTTTTCGATTTTTAAAGCTTTCTGCGATTCAAAAGATGATTTTAAAAAAATAACTCATAATATTCAAAAAAAATTGAGCAGTTTCTTATTTTTTTTTTTTTTACTTAAAAAAAAAATACTAAATCTAAAACAAAACCATACCTAACGAATTTTCTAGTGTATATGTAACAAACTTATATCTCAACGTCAGCATTATGATAGCTAGTAACAACATACTCATACGTTTTTTCCTTAATAGATATAGGATGGTAATCTACGTAACCTAACAAACCAGTATGGCCGCAGCCCATAATGTAGGGTTTGTTAGTGTTGGTGTTGAATTTGGTGGCCGATTCACACCATCAACATCCTCATTTATTGTGACCAAGGAAAAAAGTGTGTGTGTGTGTGAGAGAGAACCTAGAAAATCGGTGGCGACACGACCATCGGAGAAACGACCGGAGGGTTTCTGTGGGAAAGTGATGCCGTAAGGAATTTTCCAAGAATCGGAGAGAGACTTCCTTATGTTTCCCGTGTCTACATAGGAATCTCCGAATACGAACAGCCTGTTCGGTCTCAAGCTCCCTAAGTTACTATGCTGAAGGTGATCCGATTCAGCACCTTTAAAACATTAAACATTAGTAAGAGTATCGGAGAGTCCATTTATGTGATTAAGAGCTTTTTAGATGAATATGAGTATAGTTTACCTAAGAAGAAATATGAGAAGAGAAAGAAAGAGATAAATAGATTTAGAGACTCCATTGTTGTTGAGGTATCAGATTCAGACCAAGAGGCTTTTGTGTGTGTGCATGCGTGTGTGTGTTGTTGTGATAAAGTACGGAAAGTGGAGCGAAATGAGGAAGAAGAATAAGTATATATGTGGTGGGGATAAGTTTGAGGAGAGGCCAATTGTGAACTTTATTATTTTTATCACTTACACATTGTCTTTTTTGGCTTTGTAGTGACAATTACCAAAAGAGATTTAAAAAAGAAAAGTTGAGACCGACGATTTGGTCAACTGAACAAAAGTTTAGAGCTTTCACATATATTTGTAAAATTGTGAAAGCCTATATTATAAGCATTTCCTGTTTTAATTTTTGTATAATATAAAAATCATAATGTTAACGAATTGACATATATATTATTAGTTTTTTAATCAAGAAATGATTAAGACCATATACTAAATGGAGCGCACGTCTAGACGTAGTGCCCTTCCACACATATAACATAATTTCCTTATTAACCAAAAGGTCTCAATTTACATATTATATATACCAAGTCTTGCATCAAAGAGCATAATCTCAAAATCATCGAACAAATTAAAAAAAAAAAGTCGTCATGGCGCAAAAGATCACAACATTGGTTCTGCTAATAGAGATATTGTTTCTGGTGAGTTGTCTGAGTCATTTCACCACGACAAAGGCGGACAATGATGGTGATGTCATTCACGTCGCCGGGAAAGTTATGTGCCAAGATTGCTCTCTGAACTACGACAAATGGATCAACGGTTCTGAACCCATCAAAGGTATCATAATTAATAGTTCCAATTAATTTAATTTTCTGTATTCCGAATAAGAAAAATATTAATTAACCATATTGAAAATAATTTATAGCGTACAACAAGTGTAATTACTCATAGCTATAAAAATCCAAACATCAATTACGGTCGTTGTATGACCAAAAATAACAACGGCTATATTTAAAAAGGCCATGACCAAGACAGAAGCTAACTATCAAATCCAAAAGATGAAATAAAATTTCTTTTTGTTATTAGTTATTAGTTTATATATATAGATAAGCAAGCCGTGAGAAAACTCTAAAGACCGGATAATAATAACGAAATAATTCCACTTTGTATCTTTCAGGGGCAGTGGTATCAATCACTTGTATGGACGAAAGGAGAAGAGTGAGATACTATGGGAGCGACAAGACAGATGAGAGAGGCCAGTTCGATCTAATAGTCAACAATGTCCTCTACGGCGGCAAGGATCTCAAGCCTCAACTTTGTAATGTCCGGCTCGTGTCTTCTCCGGACCAGTCATGTAACATTCCCACCAATTTTGGCAATGGTCAAACCGGAGTGAAGCTAGTTCGACCATTCATGGTTTTCAAGGATCTGGTTAAGTATGTCGTCGGACCATTTTATTACACCACTCCCATGTGTGAGACGCCTAAATTTGAAAACAACTACTAAACCCGGGAGGTTTTGACTTCTTGGCTGAGATCATTTAAACTTAGTGGTCATTCATTAACATAATATATATATTACTCAAAAATATTGTAATGTGACATGTTTTTGCTTCCGTAATTCCGAAAATTCTTGTACATGTCAATCTAAGTATAATCGTTTAAAAAAAATTTACTTGGCTTTAAGAGAAAAAGCTTACGTATTGTCAAAGAAAAGGTTTATATAATAGGTTTCAAAAATTTGATTCGGTCACAGTGTGGTTTTATTTTGTTACTTTGTTGCATAATAAGGAAAAAAGGAAATTATTTTGAGCTGAATAGTACTGGGTTGACTCATTTGAATAGGTCATTCGGCACTCATAGTTGTTGTAGTGAGCTAGTTGCATAAACTTGTTTTCTAAAGGCAATATTTTTCTTATATGGTCTCGATCAGAAAAGGGAAATCACGATAAAGAGATTCGGAAACAAATCTTGAGAAAAACATATATGCATGCACATCTATATGGCCTGGCTATGATTCAAAATCATTTATATACTAAAAGAATGATATTATGTATATATAAAATTTCGAATAAAACAAATCTACCATCCAATATTATATCTCAAATTCGGATATTCCTTTTATTCCTCACACACAGAGAACATACTACGGGAGTGGAGTGGATACAACACAAACATAATGAAGATCATAAACAAAAACATAGAGAAGAGAGAAAGAGAGCTAGGGAGAGTGCGAGAGAGAGACATAACTAGAGAGAGTACTAGAGAGATACATAATCTGCTGATTCCGAGGGGAACCGAAGCTTGCCAAAGGATAGAAGTTGCCCAATTTCTAGAGGGAGATAAACAAAACTAGCTGTCTGAATCAGCTATGTCTCTTCATCATCAGCCTTCTGCAATCTTCATTGCTCCATATCTTGTAAAACGTGATGAAAACATTTTGCTTACATGAACACTTTCAATTCATTTTGGTGTTAAATTAGGCCATCCCCCTAGCTAGAGATGAATAAACATCTACATAATTAGAGCCAGAGGGATGGCCATATAATTAATTTTCTTCTGTTTTGTGTTGTTGTGCCAAATTAAGAGAGAGAGCGAGAGAGGGTTCAACAATGGAGGCTTGGTAGGGGGTTTTATATATTTCACTTTTCATTTCTTGCGTTTTCTTTTTTTTAATTAGTTTGTCTATGGTCATGAAGACATTTAAAAAAAAAAAAAGATACACCTAAACCCCCAATATTACATAAGCAATATAGTGTTCTTTCCACCTTTTCTCTCATTTCTTTTTAATAAAATAACTTAACTTTTCGTAACAATCAACCAATGTAATTCACGTTTGTTAGCGTTCTTTATAAATGATATATTTTATAAAAATGATTAATCTCTTGTGTTCTGTGAACAAATCGTATATGTTGTTATCCTTTGGGATCATATATTATACACGTACTTATCTTGCATGTCTTATGACATACATTCTTTTATTTTATTTTTCTACCAGGTTTGACTGTTGGAATAAAAGAAAAACAATGAAAAGAAGGGGAAATATTGGTGTAGTAAAGGGGAATAAAATAAAACTATAGTGTAAAGAGAGAGAGAGAGAGCAGCATGATCGATCGAAGAAAGTAAATTAAAGAAAAAGAAAAAAATAAGTGGGAAGCAGATGATGATGGAAACGAGGGGAGTCTTACGTGAATATGCTTGGCATTTTGGATCATCCGATGGAATATGCCATTTACCAATATTGCCTTTTCTCAGTTTTCACAGACATAAATAATACACACACACACTCATCTGCTGACATATTCTTTTTATAAGTTCTTTCTTTATTCAATACTTCTTTAGTCAGGTGTGTATTATATAAATTAATACCTGATGAGCTCTTTCCTTTTCAAATTGGAGTAGGAAAAAAAAAGGGTCCTAAAGTGCTAATTTTAAAAAACAAGATAGGACACATACGCATTATTTATGTTTACATCTTTTCTGGAACGATTGATCACCGAACCAAACATGCTTAGTGAAACGGCATATGAATCATACATATAGACTCCAATTTGTATGATTAGTTCTTTAGTCAGGTGTGTATTAAATAAATTAATACCTGATGCCTTTTCAAAACGGCATACACCTTTCCTGTCTATATGTATGATTCATATGCCGTTTTAGAAAAGAAAAAAAATTAAGAAATTCAATGGTGTTATCTTACTTTCTCTGTTTCCAATTGTTTTATGTATGTTTTGCTAATTGTGCTCCTAAATTTGGATCCAAAATAATCTTTTTGGATCCACCTAGTGATTGGGCCCAAAATTGCATAATTCTCAACTTAATTATACAATCATGTGAGAATTAGCCCATATTTTCAAAGCTCTCAAAATTTTAAACATTAATGCATGGATTAACACATATATATATGTGTATTTGTCATAATCTAACATTATGACTATTTGTTGTCTTTGATGTTGCAGCTCCTTAAAAGAAAACATTATTATTTAGAAAAAGGAAAGTTAGCTGAAAACTGAAAAGTGTGAAACAAACCAGAAAATTAAACCGTTCCCGTCTGTCTGTCGTCTGACTCGGTTAAGGAAAGTTTGTGATTAAAAAAAAGTTAAAAATCAATTATCAAATATTAGTCCTTATGTAATTTATGGTATGACCCTATTTAAACCCCCTCAGGCCCTCAACCTGAAAAGAAGAGCGAACCCTAATCGTGTCGCTGAGTAAATTGAGTAAATCTGCTTCTACACTAAACTATCCATGTTACTATATTTGGATACTATTATGTGGAGTTTTCGGTGGAGTCATATGGTTTAAAGTTATAGTTAGATAAAAAAGGAAAATGAAATGTGGTGATTTTTTCTTGTTGAGTACTAAGAAGATTCATAGAAATCTGTTGAAACATTATATGGATAGTTTTGAATCCCATAGAGAAAGAAAGAAAAAAAATGTTAAGGTCACGGACTGATCTGTATGTATGTTTGGTGGTGGGTGGGTACGATAACAGAAACTGAAAGTGACAAGAGAAGATGTACGATGTTTTCAAAATCAAGAGAATGATAATGTTCTTCTGTCCATCTCTGTCTCTTCAGTAATAATGTTTTGTTCTCCGAATCTCGGCACAGGTTAATAATGGTTTTGCTATTTATTTATTTTAATTACTGCTATACCCTTTTTTTTTTCCATATATCACTAAAGTTATATTTATCTTCACCAATTAATACTAATTTTTGTTTTACCCGAATTTAAAATAATATCTTTTAAGTGTATGAAACCTATGAATACCAAAAATTGGTATCAAAACTGGATTGTACAAACTACAAAAATTTATTAAAATATTTAGAATCATAATCTTAATTGATTTTTAAGTACATTCAATAAATAGATATTATAATCAAAACCTATATATATATATATGCCATTGGTACGGTAAATGACCAAGCATGCAACCACTAATTAGAATTTAGAAGAAGACATATTGACTCATTAGGATTGGCCTTTAATTAGAGATATTATATAAATTGTTAAGGTCCATTAGGACATTAAAACAAGATTATCACTTAGCACTTTGGTCATAATCCACATGATAATCTAATGCTATGATATTGTAATCATATTTAACTAAGTTATCTACTAATGTTTAAATATGATTAGATATACATTTATTCCCGCAAGAGATACATAAGAATAAGAATAATATATGATCTATCAAAAATGAAATCTATAGAGAATATTGTGCTAGATTTCAAACCCACGAAAAGAAGTTTATCAAATTTTAAACCAATAATATAACTGATAATATATGTTGTAGTAGGTGTATATATGAACTTTTAGTTAAATAATAACAATTAATTTTATAAAAACCATGGATTTTATTTGTAACTTTCTATCGGGTTGCAGGAAAACAAAATTGTCATTTTGAATACATGGTAGGGTTATATATCTTTGAATTGGGACACACCACATGCAATTTGACCGAGACTAATCATATGAGCGTGGTATAATTATGAACAGCATATAAAAGGTATTATTATTAATTTTTAAATACTGTAATGAAATAAAAGGTGGAAATTGTATTTACTTGCTGCAGGTTATATATATGCTTGTATGTCAAAAAAATCGTCCCGTATAGACAAAACAGTCACTAATCAACTTTATTCAGCAATAGTTGTTAATATTCGTCGAAAGAACCCATTCTTTTTGTCATTGCATGAAGTATGCAATGGACGTGACTAGACCTAACGCAAATCGATAAATTAAATATTACTCTTAAGAAATGTCCACCATTGTAAGAATACCTCGCTACAGTGTTATGTGAATTTAGTCTTCAGTCAAATATCTAATAATGTAAACGTTGTCCTCTAGCTAGTACTGGTTGCTAAGAGAGAAAAGTGATAATTACATCACACCAATTTTTCAACTAGAGGGTAAATGTTTTGTAAATCCGAACATGTCTCAGGTCAAACTGTCCGTGATAACCAAGTGTATTGTGAACTTGTCACTTTCATGTCATGTGTACTGAGTAATCGTTTTTACCAAACCCTCTTTTGCTAATTTTCTTTCTCCTCCGCTAGCTAGCTAGAACATAGATTGTTAATTTATATAAAATAAATTTTTTTTTCAAAAAAGAGAAGAAATATCTTTGTAGATCTGCGGCTAATATCACGTATCTACAAATTATGATTATAATAAAACTCCAACTTGCTGTTATATTATATTCGCTTATATAGTTATATCACTTGCTTAAAGAAATTGGATGAGTCGGCACAATTTGAAACATCGTCGTATAATATACGCCCTAATTTAAAAACAGAATTAGGCACAAACTGTTAATTTAATTAGAACTAATTAAGCAATATATCTACGGTTAGGTTTTGCTGTGATTAAGGGGCACGCACAGTTATAACATAAACACCTTTCGAACCCGAGAATATTGTTGTTTCAATTTCATCATCTCATATAAATATGTTACTATTATATATAATTTGATCGTTAGCTGTTTGAAGTACAATCATGGTGAGATGATTTATAGTATTCATCAAGACAAAGAGAACATACCTAGCTAGTCATGCCAAAACAACATATCATACAGCTTATCCAAATTATTGGAAATCTTGAGAACGTGTGGTGTACTTAAAAAGGAATAGAAATCAAGTTTCGAGTAATTTGTTCCAAATGACATTATTGGCTTTGTCACTCACACAACTCACATCGAACGGTTTAGCCGTTTAGGATACGGGTGACTGATCTCTCTCCTTTGGACGTTTTCATAAGGCATCCATCATCCATTGGCCAATGGTTAAACATTCTATCTCTTCAACATACATCATTTTCATACTATTTGCTTCTCTAATTCATATAGCTCCGTGTTAAACTACAGTTAAAAACAAAAATGATTGATGATGAAAGAATGTTTTTTCTTTGGTCTCGCAAAATTAATATATCAAATTTTAATGGGAATAGCAACAAAGAGAAAAGGACAATTTATAATGGGATTTTTAGTGGTAGCCAACCCCACTAGTTTTTGCTTCGGTGGCTTTGATTATTTCGATTTTAATTTTTAGATACGAATGTAAAATTAAGTACTTGGATAGCTAGGTTGATATTATGTAATTAATAATCTTTATTCTAAAACGATAATAGGATGATATTAATGTTCTTTTTTTTTTTCCTTTCTTTCTTTCTTTCTCTCTTTTTCTTTAACAAAAAAAAAAAAGTCTGTAAAGTACAAATAATGAGAAACTATAAGTTGTGGCTATAAATGCTCTGTTACATATTTATCCGCTATTTAAAAAATTAAAAATCAAGACTTAGGATAGAGCGACGTTTATATCTAATTTCTCTATTCTTTTTGTATTTATTGTCGTGTCTCATATGTGTAATTCTTAAGTTGTACGTTGCATGGGAAAATTCATACTTTTCTCAATTTTTTTTCCTTCTGCATGTTATTAAAGTAGTAATTTTTATATTGTTAGTTAAGCTTCCTTTTTTTTTTTTTGTAAATACGTTTCCCTTGCTTATAGAAAAAGCATAATTAACTTGTCTGATCACTA